CCCTATAAAGTGAGAAGAGAGCATTTGGATTTAAATAGATTTCTTTTCCTATTGTCTTGTTGTTCGAGGGAAGGAAAAGCAAGAAAGCCAAGGCCACAGAGATGAGAAAGATGCCTACCTTTCGGTCACACCGGTCTCTTAGTTGGCCTCCATGCAAAACAGAAACTTCCCAGTATCTTGAATTTTTTCCCCCACGTTTCACATACCTTTAAGAGACTGCAAATGCAATTCAAACTCCAAAACAAGACCAAAAATAGATCTGCAAATGCTGGAGTTCTTTTGATCAGACTCGCAATGCAGAAAGTAGCGACACCTGGGTCACAAAACCGAAAAGGGAGCTGCCTGGAAAATATTGCTCACCTGTTTCTTCTGAACAAGAGTCTTGCAGGTACGGACTCAAAGCTGCACTGCCATCATCACTACAGATCTAATGGGTGCTTTACTATTGTGTTTCCACCCCCCTAGAGAGCATATCCACCAAACCTTATTGAGTATACAGTAGGACTTCCTTTTGAAGGTACAGGAGGGTAGATTTCAACCGAACGTTACACTGAGAGTGTAAAGTTTCCTGAACAGGAGGCAAGGTCTCCTTCTCTATTGTGTCCAATTCTGGGCACCACAATTCAAGAGAGATATTGACAAGCTGGAATGTGTCCAGAGGGGGGCGACTCAAATGATCAAGGGTCTGGAGAACAAGCCCTATGAGGAGCGGCTTAAAGAGCTGGGCATGTTTAGCCTGAAGAAGAGAAGGTGCACCACAATTCAAGAAAGATATTGACAAGCTGGAATGTGTCCAGAGGAGGGCGACTCAAATGATTAAGGGTCTGGAGAACAAGCCCTATGAGGAGCGGCTTAAGGAGCTGGGCATGTTTAGCCTGAAGAAGAGAAGGCTGAGAGGAGACTTGATGAGGGCCATGTATAAATATGTGAGAGGAAGCCACAGGGAGGAGGGAGCAAGCTTGTCTTCTGCTTCCCTGGAGACGAAGACGCAATGGAACAATGGCTTCAAACTACAAGAGAGGAGATTCCACCTGAATTTTGGAGATTTGCTTGAAAACTGGGATGGTAGAAGTCATTTAAAAGAGTGGAAATAAGGATGCCTTCAGGAAGGATTTTGGTTTATAGTTCATGGAAATACTTTCAGAAAAATGAAGTTAATCAAGGACAACCATGAGGAAAGTTACATTCAAATGAAGACTATTTACACCAGTGGTTCCCATCCTGTGGGTCCCCAGGTGCTTTGGCCTACAACTCCCAAAAACCCAGCCAGTTTACCAGCTGTTTCTGGAAGTTGAAGGCCAAAACATCTGGGAACCAACAGGTTGAGAATGGGTGAGAACTTCTGGTCTAGGTAGATAATAACCTGGGGTTGTCTGACAATTTGGGCAGATGGAAGCAGTCAACCGAACATGCAAGATCCTTCTCAACTAGCAAATGGTACAAGGTAGACTTCTTGCAAGAGAAGAGGTTGGCTAGCAAACCCACTGACTTGACTTCTAGAGACCAGCAGCCCATTAAGCATATGAGCCTATCCACAATAACTGGGAGTAAACAACACTGAAGGTTTGGGATTGCCAGGTATCTGTTCATGGAGAAGAACCAAGTCTACCTTGTCCAGCAAAACTGTCATCCCTCCGCTGAGTAGCAGGGATTAAGCCATACCCCAAAATGGGGTCCCCAGGGAAAGTGACTTAGTTTCCCTTCACCTCTTATAATAGAAATGTTTTCGCCTGAATCCCTATACCCAGAAGCAACCTATGACATCAATAGTGATCTCACTTCAGTTTGTGTTAGGTAGAAACTCCTTCATGTGATCAACCTGGAGGAATGTTTGAAGAGATGGTGAGACTGGTCAGCTGTGACCAGCAGTGCTGCAGAATTTGAAGAGGCACGAATGGAGGGTGAAAGAGAGAAACGTGCCAAGAGGAAGGTGCGTCAAGCCAACCCCGACCGAGACTGCCTTCCACCTGGAAACTGATGCCCTCACTGTGGGAGAAGATGCAGGTCAAGAAGAGGGATCCACAGTCACCTATGAACCCACCAGAACACTGATCCTGGAAGACTATCCTGCTTGGCCAACGAGGGACTACCTAAGTAAGTAAGTAAGTAAGTAAGTAAGTAAGTAAGTAAGTAAGGTGAGACTGGGGAAAAACTTTTGATATCTGACTGCCTGACATTCATTTAGTAGTGGAGTTTGTGTTTTTGTTGGAATTGCTGAATTTTCCAAAGCTTTTCTGGGCTCTGTCAAGGGCTTTCAGGTTCTCCTGCCAAAGGAAAAGGTCACGGAGACAGAGACGTTACCACCTTTCCAGGAAATTAGTTGTACCCACATTTTGACTGCAAGTATAAGCATCCCCAGCCAGCACAGTCAATGGTAAGTGCTAATAGAAGTTGCAGTTGCATGCTAACATTTCTTCTCAACTTGAGACATGTTCACAAATGTCATGGTGTCTATGTCAACATAGACACCATGACATTTGTGAACGTGTCTCAAACTGTTAGCGCACCTAAGCAACAAGATGCATCTCTCCTCTTGTTTTCATTTTTGGAATCCGAAGGATGGTCATGTTTACTTCAGGTCAGATCCATCCCCGTACTTTCCAAGTGGGAACCCTATTCAAAACAAAACGAAAGCAAAACTGTCTTGCTCTCAATATTTTGGAGATTTGCTTGAAAACTGGGGATGGTAGAAGTAATTTAAAAGAGTGGAAATAAGGATGCCTTCAGGAAGGATTTTGGTTTATAGTTCATGGAAATAGTTTCAGAAAAATGAATTGCATCAAGGACAACCACGAGGAAAGTTACATTCAAATAAAGACTATTTACACCAGTGGTTCCCAACCTCTGTGTCCCCAGATGCTTTGGACTACAACTCCCAAAAGCCCAGCCAGTTTACCAGCTGTTTCTGAAAGTTGAAGGCCAAAACATCTGGGAACCAACGAGTTGAGAATGACTGATTTACACAATGAGTGAGAACTTCTGGTCTAGGTAGATAATAACCTGGAGTTGTCTGACAATTTGGGCAGATGGAAGCAGTCAACTGAACGTGCAAGATCCTTGTCAACTAGCAAATGGTACAAGGTAGACTTCCTGCAAGAGAAGAGGTTGGCTAGCAAACCTACTGACTTGACGTCTAGAGACCAGCAGCCCATTAAGCATATGATCCTACCCACAATAACCTGGGAGTAAACAACACTGAAGCTGGGGTACCTACTGAGCAAATAGATTTGGGATTGCTAGGTATCTGTTAATGGAGAAGAACCAAGTCTACCTTGGGTTGTTGTAGGTTTTTCCGGGCTATATGGCCATGTTCTGGAGGCAATTTTTCTCCTGACGTTTCCCCTGCATCTATGGCAAGCATCCTCAGAGGTAGTGAGGTCTGTTGGAAGTAGGAGAAATGGGTTTATATATCTGTGGAATGACCAGGGTGAGACAAAGTACTTTTGTCTGCTGGCGCTAGCTGTGAATGTTTCAGCTGATCACCTTGATTAGTATTCAATGGCTTGGAAGTGCCTGGGGGGAATCTTTTGTTGAGAGTGATTTTATGTGCCTGTTTGTTTCCCCTCTGTTGTTTTGCTGTTGTAATTTTTGAGCTTTTTAATACCCATTTTTCCTACTTCCAACAGACCTCACTACCTCTGAGGATGCTTGCCATAGATGCAGGCGAAACGTCAGGAGAAAAATTGCCTCCAGAACATGGCCATATAGCCCGGAAAAACCTACAACAACCCAGTGATTTCGGCCATGAAAGCCTTTGACAATACACAAGTCTACCTCGTCCAGCAAAACTGTCATCCCTCCGATGAGTAGCAGGGATTAAGCCATACCCCAAAATGGGGTCCCCAGGGAAAGTGACTTAGTTTCCCTTCACCTCTTATAATAGAAATGTTTTCACTTGAATCCCTAAGCCCAGAAGCAACCTATGACATCAATAGTGATCTCACTTCAGTTTGTGTTAGAAAGATCTTGCTGCCTTTCTGCTTTCTAGTTGACCAATTTCTTAATTTATACCAGGGAAAGGCAAACCCAATGAGATCTTTTCTCTGCTCCCAATCCCCCTGAAGGGCAAGATGGATGAATAGCATCCTTGAAGTGACTGGATTGACCTTGAAGGAGCTGGGGGTGGTGACGGCTGACAGGGAGCTCCTTCAAGGTCCTTCAAGGTCAATCCAGTCACTTCAAGGATGCCATCCATCATGAAGTCATGAAGTCATGAAGAGTCGGAAAGGACTGAACGAATGAACAACAATCCCCCTGAAGGACCTCTTTTTCAATTTGGGAAAAAAATAGGCAAATTAGGGGCTACTAGCAGTTCCCTCTTTGGCAGGGTAATTTGTACAGCCAAGAAGGTGGGACGTCTCCGCAGCCGTTTTGAAGCAAGGCAACCTCTTACCAGCCACTGGCAGTGGGTTTTTCAAGACAAGGAAACATAAATACTGTACAAGGAGACTCAAAGGACAGATTTCCACCCACATCCTGGGACAACATGGAGCGTGGCAATCCTGGCCTAAAAAAAGCATCACGGTGAGGACTTGGCCCCGGGGAGCATGTTCTGAACTTGTTGCAAATCTGCTCAATATTGCACAATTCCTCTGTCTAGAGACCCTCATTTTTGTCTTTTTCACAGAATCCAAAATAGTAACCTCCTTCCACCCACAACTTTTTTTTTTGCCCTACATGCTCACACACACACACATACATACATGCACACACCGATGATCCAGACGCGATTTTAGCCGGTGACTGTCGTCAGCGTCATGATATGATACTGCCCTACATACAGAACCGTCTTTAATATCAGTGTAGAGTAACAAGCCCTGTGCTCAACACGCACACATAACCATTTGTGATGCAAGGTCCGCAACCCTTCTCCGGCTCCCTGTTCCTCGCTTGCTCCAAAAATGGCACAAAACTATCTCCTCCCCTTTCGGCACAATTCCTCACCCCCCCAGTCAACAATAAATAAAAGTTATTTATACATATATTTTAAAAAGACACACATACACACACACACCCCCAAGTTGTCCATATGCTGGTGACATGGGAGCAAATCCATTAGGGTTGTTGAGGCGACGGTGCAGCTGACTCTTGTGAGGATTATTACGAAGGTAACTGTGTGCTGTTTGGAATATAATGGTGACCTTGAGCTGAATATTTCGACATCCGTATCCAGTTGGGAAGTGCAAGGGGCAGGAAAAAATAATAGTAAACGTTCCTACTTATATTGGGAACAGACTACTGTGGAGTCTCATTTGTCCGAGCCAACTTCTGGACTCCGAGGATCAAAATGGAAATGCCAAAATCCCCAAACGCTCTCAGGTTTGGTTTGGGGGTTCCTTACCAAGCAATGCACACAAAGCAGTCAATCCCATCCAAAGTAAGGCTGGGGTCTTGCACTGTTCTCTTTCTCTCTCTCTCCAGGTTGGTATTTATATTGGGAATAGATTGCTGTGGACGTCTTGTTTGTACTCTGAGGATCAAAATGGAGATACCGAAACACCCAAACGCTCCTGGCAATTCACACAAAGCACTCGATCCTGTCCTAAGCAAGGCTGGGGCCCTCCGTTGTTTCTCTCTCTTTCTCTCTTCCGGAGTGCCTAGTTGATGCCCACCTGTGCTTTCCACACACATGACAATGGCAGTGGGCACAGGGCGTGCATGATAGAGGCAAGGGAAGAGGCTGCACAGCATCCGTCTCAAAAGGTCTCTCTCCCCCCGTGCGGTGGATCCCGGAGACATTCAAGACGGGCGATGAGACACGGCAGAGAGAGCGGTGGACAGCAAGGATGCACGGGACCGCAGCGTTCCCCTTCTCTCCCTTTCTCCTGCTGGGAGCGACCCACTCAGACCCTCCAGAGGAGGAGGTGGTTCGTGCTGTCGTCCCGGCCCACCGTCTCGCTGCTGTTGGTGAGCCTGAAGTCCTCGTAGCCGTCTCCGCCGCTGATCACCAGCATCTTGGACTTGGACGGCCGGTGCCTCACGGAGTCCCGCTTCTCCAAGTCGTTGGACTTTTCTGTACCTAGGCAACGGAGGGAAAGCAAAGGGCTTGTGTTACTTTGTGCATTAGACTAATCTATGGGTTGTTGTAAGTTTTTCGGGCTATATGGCCATGTTCTAGAACAGTGGTTCTCAACTTTCCTAAGGTCGTGACCCCTTAATACAGTGTATTTATTTATTTATTATTTACTTAGCAATTTTGTATACTGGTCTTCTCCCCTCTATCGGGGGACTCGGGACGGTTTCCAACAATAATATCACAAAACAATCATTAAAAATGTCATATAACATATTCAATTAAAACGTTAAAACAGCAAAATGCAATCACATAATAACAATGGTCAGTCGTCATAGTGAATTCGTTGTCCGTCATTCATCATCATCCATCTGATCACAGAAATATTGATTCACTCGTCGAAAGCCAAACCCCATAGCCAGGTTTTCACCCGTTTTCTGAACGACAGAATGGAGGGGGCAGTTCTGATCTCCAGTGGGAGAGAGTTCCAGAGTCGAGGGGCCACCACCGAGAAGGCTCTGTCCCTCATCCCCACCAGACGCACTTGAGAGGCCGGTGGGACCGAGAGCAGGGCCCCTCCAGACAATCTTAACAACCTAGATGGTTCATAGGGGAGAATACGTTCGGACAGGTAAACTGGGCCGGAGTCGTTTAGGGCATTATAGGTTAACACCAGCACTTTGAATTTGAGTTCCTCCTGTTGTGGTGACCCCCAATCATAAAATTATTTTACTTGCTATTTCTTAACTGTAATTTTGCTGCTGTTATGAATCATAAATGTAAATATCCGATATGCAGGAGGTATTATTAATCACTGGACCAAATTTGGCACAAATACCCCATATGCCCAAATTTGAATATTGATGGGGTTGGGGAGGATTGATTTTGTCATTTGCTGAGATTTATCGTTAACCTACAATCAAAGAGCATTCTGAACTCCACCAACAATGGAATTGAACCAAACTTGGAACACAGGACTTCCATGACCAACAGAAAATACTGGAAGGGTTTAGTGGGCATTGACCTTGAGTTTTGGAGTTGTAGTTCGCCTACATCCAGAGAGCATTGTGGGCTTAAACAATGATGGATCTAAACCGAACTTGGCACGAATGCTCAATATGCCCAAATGTGAACACTGGTGGAGTTTGGAGAAAACAGACTTGATATTTGGGAGTTGTAGTTGCTGGGAGTTATAGTTCACCTACAATCAAAGATCTGCATAGTTAAAGCAATGGTATTCTCCGTAGTCACCTACGGATGTGACAGCTGGACCATAGGGAAGGCTGAGTGAACGAATGCTCAATATGCCCAAATGGGAACATTGGTGGAGTTTGGAGAAAACAGGCTTGACATTTGGGAGTTGTAGTTGCTGGGATTTATAGTTCACCTACAATCGAAAGCATTCCGAACCCCACCAACAACAGAATTGGTCCAAACTTCCCAGACAGAACTCCCATGACCAACAGAAAATACTGTGTTTTCTAATGATCTTTGGAGACCCCTCTGACACCCCCTCATGACCCCCACAGGGGTCCCGACCCCCAGGTTGAGAAACACTGTTCTAGAAGCATTCTCTCCTGACGTTTCGCCTGCATCTATGGGAAGCATTACTAAAATGATTTTAGTAATGAGACACTGAGGTGTTTTATGTTTTTTATTGCTTCTACTGCTTTTATGTGGTCTATATTATATGTCGATGTTTTTAATTATATTTTATGTGTTGGTGACATTGATTGCCGATTGTAAACTGCCTCGAGTCGCCTTCGGGCTGAGAGAGGCGGTATATAAGTATGGTAAATAAATAAGCATCCTCAGAGGTTATGAGGCCCTCACAACCTCTGAGGATGCTTGCCATAGATGCAGGTGAAATGTCAGGAGAGAATGTTTCTAGAACATGGCCATATAGCCCAAAAAACCTACAACAACCCAGTGATTCCAGCCATGAAAGCCTTCAACAAGACTAATCTACAATCTAAAAGTAGATTTATTGTCGAAGGCTTTCATGGCCGGAATCACTGGGTTGTTGTAGGTTTTTTCGGGCTATATGGCCATGGTCTAGAGGCATTCTCTCCTGACGTTTTGCCTGCATCTACAAAAGTTTGCTCTAGGCATTGTCAAGCCATTATATGCTAATCAAGGTGGTCAGTTGAAACCTTCACGCCTAGCTCCAGCAGACAAGAGTCCTTTGTCCCACCCTGGTCATTCCACAGATATATAAACCCTTTGTCCTAGTTCCAACAGACGTCACAATCTCTGAGGATTCTTGCCATAGATGCAGGCGAAACGTCAGGAGAGAACGCCTCTAGACCATGGGCATATAGCCCGAAAAAACCTACAACCCAGTAAAAGTAGATTGTAAGTATATTGTTTTAATGTTTATTGTTTTTAACTATTATAAGGTGTTTTGTATTTATTATGTGGCATCGAATTGTGCCAATTGGAAGCCGCCCTGAGTCTCCCCCAGAGGTAAAAGTTTTCGAAATAAATAATAAATATGTTTGGATCTATAAAATCCCAACTTTTCTAGTTCTTCACATCAACTGTAAAGAGAATCCTTCCACTCTCCGCACTAAACTCAAAGATTATGAACACTGTGTAGGATTCTCTCAAAAAGGGAATCTAATCAGAAACAAAACTTCCCATTGAACCAAAGTCTGCCTTAAAATTTTCTCCAAACCTGACTGAGAATGCAACACCTACCACCTTCTGTCATCATGTCCATGCCTTTTTTATGCCAACTTACCTGGATCTCTTGGCAAGGGGAAGAGGACATCAAAGCCTTCAGGCAGCTCAATGGACGTGAGGAAGCGGACATGCCCTGTGTGTCCTTGGGAAAGGCCCACTGGCAATGGAGGAGTTTTCAAGGAAGTGGCATTGGCGGTGATGGAAAGGGTCAGCACCACTCCGGCGCTGGTGCCGATCCAGAGAAGGTCCTTGCAGGCCAAGAGAGCGGTGATGCGCAAGCAGGCGGCCTTGTGCTGGCGAATGATGGCATCCGACCCTGTGATTTGTAAGAGGAGAGAGAGCTCACTGACAGCATCCTCGTATGACATTACATGGTATCGTTTGGCTTTGTTTATACCCTGCTTTCTCTCCAAAACTGGCACTCAAAGAGACTGACTAAATGAAAATACACTCTTATCAGGAAATCCAAACACCTCCAAATCTGGAAATTTTTGCCGTCAGCTATTGGATTCTGTTCTCAAGGTGGCAGCTCATTTGTCTCTCAGATCCTGTCTCTCACTTGTCTCGCAGACTTCTGTCCAACATTTGTCTCCCAGATCCTATATCCCTTATTTGTCTCTTGGATTGTCTGTCCCTCATTTGTCTCTCAGATCCTCTGTCTCTCATTTGTCCCTCGGATCCTCTGTCTCTCATTTATCAGATCCTCTGTTCCTCTGTCTCTCATTTGTCTCTCAGGTTATCTGTCTCTCACTTGTCCCTCGGATCTTCTGTCCCTCATTTGTCTCTCGTATACTCTGTCTCTCACTTGTCTCTCGGATCCTCTGTTTTTATGTCTCTCATTTGCCTCTCAGATCATCTGTCTCTCATTTATCAGATCCTCTGTTCCTCTGTCTCTCAGATCCTCTGTCTCTCATTTATCAGATCCTCTGTTCCTCTGTCTCTCATTTGTCTTTCGCATCTTCTGTCCCTAATTTGTCCCTCGGATCCTCTATCTCTCACTTGTCTCTCGGATCCTCTGTTCTTATGTCTCTCATTTGTCTCCCAGATCCTATATCCCTTATTTGTCTCTTGGATTGTCTGTCCCTCATTTGTTTCTCGTATCCTCTATCTTTCATTTGTCTCTCGTATCCTCTGTCTCTCGTTTATCAGACCCTCTGTTCCTCTGTCTCTCAGATCATCTGTCTCTCATTTGTCTCTCGGATCCTCTGTTTCTCACTTGTCTTTCAGATCTTCTGTCCCTAATATGTCCCTTGGATCCTCTGTCTCTCATTTATAAGATCCTCTGTTTCTCTGTCTCTCATTTGTCTCTCAGATCCTGTCTCTCACTTGTCTCCCAGACCTCTGTCCCACATTTGTCTCCCAGATCCTATATTCCTTATTTGTCTCTTGGATTGTCTGTCCCTCATTTGTCTCTCGTATCCTCTGTCTCTCATTTGTCAGATCCTCTATTCCTCTGTCTCTCATTTGTCTCTCAGATCATCTGTCTCTCACTTGTCTCTCGGATCTTCTGTCTCTCACTTGTCTCGGATCCTTTGTTCTTATGTCCCTCATTTGTCTCTCAGATCCTCTGTCTCTCATTTATCAGATCCTCTGTTCCTCTGTCTCTCATTTGTCTCTCAGATCATCTGTCTCTCATTTGTCTCTTGGATCTTCTGTCTCTAATTTGTTCCTTGGATACTCTATCTCTCACTTGTCTCTCGGATCCTCTGTCTCTCATTTGTCTCTCGAATCCTCTGTCTCTCATGTATCACATCATCTGTTCCTCTGTCTCTCATTTGTCTCTCAAATCCTCAGTCTCTCTCAATTCTCATGTTAAGACTGAGATCTGAGAGATGAACAAACAGGAGTGCTGCTACTTCTGCCTTGAAGGCAAAAATGGACAGTTGGTGGCAAAAAAAAATTGTGTTGGAAATTTTCAGATATTGGACTGTGGGAAAAGAGAAGTTCAACTTCCATGGACAAGTCTTATACTGTGACTGAGTTCATAACTGCAGGAGACCATCTCTATAGCCCTATAACGCAGCTAAAATGAAGTGATTGTAATATGATTGAAATGGCTCCTAGATTGTGATACAGGTCTTTGTGTTATGTTTTTAACAGTTTATTTAATATATTGATATAGAATCATAGAATCCAAGAGTTGGAAGAGACCTCATGGGCCATCCAGTCCAACCCCATTCTGCCAAGAAGCAGGAATATTGCATTCAAATCAGCCCTGACAGATGGCCATCCAGCCTCTGTTTAAAAGCCTCCAAAGAAGGAGCCTCCGCCACACTCCGGGGCAGAGAGTTCCACTGCTGAACGGCTCTCACAGTCAGGAAGTTCTTCCTCATGTTCAGATGGAATCTCCTCTCTTGTATTTTGAACATGATTCCAAGGCTGAATTAATGCCATTGTCTCACTCAAAAAGGCTTTGACACTCAGAAGGGGTGACAACAAGAATTGTGTTATGAGTAACAATGAATAAAACTATAAGCTTATAGAAGATTTCTACGTCAGTGCTCTTAATATAGCAAATGGCATCACCTCTCCTGGGACGGTTCAGAAGGTGACATGTCACAAAGTACAGGAATGCTACATCACTATTTAATTTTATCCGGAGTACCATCTTGAAGCCTCTCCCAGCATTTGTGTATTTTGATGTCTGCCATCTTGCTTCTTTTCAGAGTATGAGTTCTGTACTCAACTTTCCCCAAAGACACAAGAGGCTCAACCAAGATAAGAAAGGTCCATCCAAAGTAGGTTCGGCTGGATCAAAGATGCCCAAAGATGATTAGGGATGAGTCTACACTGTGGAATTAATACCCATTGACACAACTTTAACTTCCATGGTTCAATGTTATGACTCTTGGGAGTTGTAGTTTTACGAGAGCTTTAGCCTTCTCTGCCAAAGAGTGCTGCTGCTTCACCAAACTACAACTCCTAGGAATCCATAGAACCGAGCAATAGCAGTTAAAAGTGGTTTCAAACCACATTATAATTCTGTGTAGATGCACCCTTAGTGGGGATTAGGACCCAAGTCACCTTGGCTTATGTGCTGTCGCACGCTGGGCCTGTGCATAAGACTGTAGACAGGACATAAATTCTGTGTGCCCAACGGGACGCCGGGGCTGCCTCAGATTAAAGACCTTTGGATTTCCTTAAACAGAGTCTTTAGATTGCTTAAAGGTTCAACAAAGTTCTTTATTATTGAAATCAAACAGGTACTTTAAGGCTTTCTTAATAGTCTATTGGCTCTCTCAAACTTGTCCACAGGGAACAGGCACTATCTTCATAACTGCATTTTAACTAATGGGGAAATCCTTAACCTCTAATCTGGGCAGTCTGTCTTTGCCTCTGTTGGCGTGGAGCCCCTGCACCCGGTACCAACTGCTTCTGGCTTCCGCGAGTGACCCTTACCAAGCAGAGCTTTGTAGACTTCCAGGGGAAAAGAAGGAGTTCGGGTTTCAGTGATGGCTGGCTGAAGCGCTGTGGGACTGGATTCCCTCAGCAAAGAAGCTGTGGCTGTATAACCTCAGCCAAGCTATGGGGCCTTTTCTCCCCGGCCAAGCTATGGGGCTGTATCTCCCCGGCCACACTGTAGGGCTATATATCTCCCCGGCCAAGCTGTAGAAGACAAAGCTTTCTACAGGAGCTCCTGGTTTTATGTCCTGTATGAAAGGCTTCTCTGTGTGGATTGACCCAAAATGGCTCCTATTCCCTCCAAAACCCCAAAAGGGGGCAGGACTAGGGAACCTAATGATAATTGACAGGTCATAGATGCAATAAATGCAAATTAAGGAAAGCCAGCTAACTGCAAATGCACAGAACCCCAAAATACATGCAACACTCAACAAATGGAAAGGGAGGTTGGAGCTCCTGGTACGGCCGTACCAGAACAGCTTATATCCAGCACTCTATCCAGTGTAGACTAACTCCCAGGTCCAAGCTCCAACGTTATTCTGAATAGGCAGAAAAAGCTCCAAAAGAGAACAGCATTTTCCTAAAGTATCACAAGTAGGAAATTTAGGTACCACTTATGTGGGGAGGCTAATTTATGATGCCATAAAAATCTCCAGCAAGCATGCAAAGAATGAGGAAGTACTTCATCAGTGTTGCAAATGGAAGGTGAAGCGACAGCTCCCCTGGTGGACAGAATACCTTCATGAAAAAGCTGGAATGTTAAATAGCCTCTCTGTGTCTGTCTGTATAAGTTGTGTGTCTATGGCATCGAATGTTTGCCATGTACAGGTACATTGCAATCCACCCTGAATCCCCTGCGGTGTGAGTAGGGTAGAATATAAATATTTTAAATAAAGAAAGAAATAGAATTTTGCTCAGGGTAGTTTCTTCGCATGCAAAAAAGAATTCTTAGTATTATATTAACACTTGAACTCAGAACTAGTTTCATGCACAAGAATCCCCACTGGCGATGGTGTTCCTGTCCTTACCTGCCAACATCTTGTGGACCGGCGGAGTGATGTCCACTTCAGCCAACTGGTCATAGCTGACCGAGTGGTACAGCCTCACTTGGGCACTGCCTTGGAGAGTGACCCAGACCCCAACGCTGGAGCTGACCAGGCAGGTGACACTGCGGTTGCTGTCCTGTCCAACCTGGAAGGTGTGCTGCGGGAGAAGGAGACCAAGATCATAAAATCATAGAATCACAGAGTTGGAAGAGACCTCATGGGCTATCCAGTCCAACCCCATTCTGCCAAGAAGCAGGAATATTGCATTCATGGAATCATAGAATCCTAGAGTTGGAAGAGACCTCGTGGGCCATCCAGTCCAACCCCATTCTGCCAAGAAGCAGGAATATTGCATTCAAAGCACCCCTGACAGATAGCCATCCAGCCTCTGTTTAAAAAGCTTCCAAAGAAGAAGCCTCCACCACACTCCGTGGCAGAGAGTTCCAGTGCTGAACAGCTCTCACAGTCAGGAAGTTCTTTCTCATATTCAGATGGAATCTCCTTTCTTGCAGTTGGAAGCCATTGTTCTGTGTCCTAGTCTCCAGGGCAGCAGAAAGGAAGCCTGCTCCCTCCTTCCTGTGACTTCCTCTCACGTATTTATACATGGTTATCATGCCTCATCTCAGTCTTCTCTTCTTCAGACTAAACATGCCGAGCTCTTTAAGCTGCTCCTCATAGGGCTTGTTCTCCACACCCTTGATGATTTGAGTTGCCTCCTCTGGACACATTCCAGCTTATCATGTCTCCTCTCAGCCTTCTCTTCTTCAGGCTAAACATGCCCAGCTCTTTAAGCCGCTCCTCATAAGGCATGTTCTCCAGACCCTTGATCATTTGAGTTGCCCTCCTCTGGACACATTCCAGCTTGTCAATATCCCTCTTGAATTGTGGTGCCCAGAATTGGACACAATATTCCAGGTGTGGTCTAATCAAGGCAGAATAGAGCATGGGGAGCATTACTTCCCTAGATCTAGACACTATGCTCCTCTTGATGCAGGCCAAAATCCCATTGGCTTTTTTTGCCGCCACATCACATTGTTGGCTCATGTTTAACTTGTTGTCCATGAGGACCCCAAGATCTTTTTCACACGTACTGCTCTCGAGCCAGGCATTGTCCCCCATTCTGTATCTTGATGACACCTTTTTGGAGAGCCAAGCGAGAAACAAGACGTTGGTACCTTTAGGGCAGGCCTGGGCAAACTTTGACCCTCCAGGTGTTTTGAACTCCAATTCCCACAATTCCTATCAGCCACAATTCTCTTTCTGTCCCTGTGATAATTGGATTTTGGAAAATTTGGCTTGTTGTGGAAACAAGGTTTGGGAATAAAGTTTCAGTGAAGACCCCTTTTCTCCATGATAATAACTCTTCCAGCAATGTATTTCCCTTCTGAAGGGGAAATTTCTCTCACTTCCTGTTGTCTCACCACTGTTCTTAATCAAGAGTTGTTTGTAAGTCAGATGTTTGTAACTCAGGGACAACCTGCATAAGAGAGTGTGCCAGACCAAGGGGATGCCATCCTCCGCTCCTACCTCCTGCTGCAGGATGGATGTGTTGAGGATGATGACTCTGTTCTGGCATCCGCACCACAGCTTCCCGCTCACAGCCACCATCTTGGTCACAGGGCTCCCGGGAGAGCCCAGCGAGAGGGACTTGGAGTTCTGAGCATCCCAAAAACGCCCTGCAACAGATATGGGAAGAAGGTGAGAGGTGGAAACAAACAAGGAATCATCCTACCATCCTATCATAATATCCCCAGCCTTAGAAACATACAATCCTAGAGTTGGAGGAAACCACCTGGGCCATCTAGTCCAACCCCCTGCCATGCAAGAAAAGCACCATCAAAGCACTCCTGACAGATGGACATCCAGCCTCTGTCTAAAAGCCTCCAAGGAAGAGCTTTAACTGGACTTCGAGGCACAGAGTTCCACTGCTGAACAGCTCTTCTTACAATGTGTTGTTGAAGGATTTTATAGAATCATAGAATCAAAGAGTTGGAAGAGACCTCCTAGGCCATCCAGTCCAACCCCATTCTGCCAAGAAGCAGGAATATTGCATTCAAATCACCCCTGACAGATGGCCACCCAGCCTCTGTTTAAAAGCCTCCAAAGAAAGAGTCTCCACCACACTCTGGGGCAGAGAGTTCCACTGCTGAATGGCTCTCATAGTCAGGAAGTTCTTCCTAAAGTTCAGATGGAATCTCCTTTCTTGTAGTTTGAAGCCTTTGTTCCATTGCGTCTGAGTCTCCAGGGAAGCAGAATGCTCCTCCTTATTTCTTTATTTACTTTGTTTGTATACCGCAGTTTCTCAGCCCGTAGGCGACTCAACGCGGTTCACAACAAGAGCAAAAAGTCAATCATAACAACATACAATTTAAAAACCATTAACGGCATAGTATACAAAGTAATGACACATCAATAACAACACATTAACGTCTCGTAACTAGAATTGTGATCCAATCCGTCATCCGTTCCTGTATTCATCGTATTCATTGCACTGTTTATCCGAATGCCTGTTCAAACAGACAGGTTTTTAATTTTCTTCGAAACACCATTAACGAAGGAGCTGATCTAATGTCCTTCCTGATCTTATGGCTTCCTCTCATATATTTATTAGGGCTGGGCAGTTTCGTTTCGTTAATTCTTAATTCGTTAATAATTCGTTATTTTTTTAATTACAAAACGATAACAAACCATTCTGGAGCATTTTTTTAAAAAAACGAATTTTTAAACACGTTTTGTAAATGCTTCGTATTTCGTTATTGTATTCGTTTCGTTATTGTTCTGAGGTCGTTTCGTTATTATTTCCGCATGTCTGGGCAAGTTTTTTGTTTAATTAGTGAAAAAAAATTATAATATCACACCAACAGTCAACAACAGAGGGAGAGGGAAGCTTCAGAAGTTTTTGGAGGTTTTTTAGCGTATTTCACGGTCGCGTCCGCCATTAACGAATCGATTCGTTATTGTTTCGGAAATCGATTCGTTAATGTTTTGTAACTTTTTTCACATTTACAAAATTTCGTAAATATCGAACTTTTTAAAAGGAAAATTTTGTAATTATTTTAAATAACGAAACGCAAAAACCCCCAAAAAACGAATCGATTTTAGAAACAAATTTTTCCGTTGTTACCCAGGCCTAATATTTATACATGGCTGTCATGTCTCCTCTCAGCCTTCTCTTCTTCTCTTCATCCCCAGCTCTTTAAGCCACTCCTCATAGGGCTTTAACTGGACTTCGAGGCACAGAGTTCCACTGCTGAACAGCTCTTCTTACAATGTGCTGTTGAAGGATTTTATGGCTGGGATCACTGGGTTGCTGTGAGTTTTTTGGGCTGGATGGCTATTTTCCCACAGCATTCTCTACTGACGTTTCACCTACATCTGTGGCTGGCATCTTCAGAAGTTCTGTTGGTAATGAAGCAAGTGGAGTGTGTGTGTGTGTGTGTGTGTCTGTCTGTCTGTCTATCTATCTATCTATCTATCTATCTATCTATCTATCTGTGGAGTGTCCAGAGTGGGAGAAAGAATCCTTGTCTGTTAAAGCAAGTGTAAATGTTGCAATTAGTAAGCTTGAATAGCACTGAGTAGCCAGGAAGCTGCAGAGTCAATCAGTGAGGGTATCTGCATAGAGGTAGCCTGGCCTGTTTAACTTGAAAGTATCCTCTGTTTGGGAGATGTTAACTGGCTACTCAATGCTCTTCAAGCTTGCTAATTGCAGCATTTACACTTGCCTTAAACAGACAAGGGTTCTTTCTCCTGCTGTAGACATTGTACAGAAATATAAACACTCCACTTGCCTCACATCCAACAGACCTCTGAAGAGGCCGCCCACAGATGCAGGTAAAACATCAGGAGAGAATGCAGCTGGAACATGGCCATTTGTTATTTGTTCAGTCGCTTCCGACTCTTCGTGACCTCCTGGACCAGCGCAGGCCAGAGCTCCCAGCTCCTTCGGAGTCAAGCCAGTCCCTTCAAGGATAAAATCCATCCATCTTGCTCTTGATTGGCCCCTCTTCCTTTTTCCTTCCATGTTCCCCAGCATTGTTGTCTTCTCTAAGCTTTCCTGTCTTCTCATGATGTGGCCAAAGGACTTCATCTTTGCCCCTCATCTCCTTCCCTCCAATGAGCAGTCGGGCTTTCTTTCCTGAAGTATGGACTGGTTGGATCTTCTTCCGGTCCAAGGCACTCTCAGCACTTTCCTCCAGCACCACAGTTCAAAAGCGTCTCTCTCCCTTTGCTCAGCCTTCCTTCTGGTCCAGCTCTCACGTCCGTAGGTGACTATGGGGAATACCATTGCTTTAACTATGTGGATCTTCGTTGCCTCTGTGATGTCTCTTCTTTTCACTACTTTATCAAGATTGGACATTGCTCTCCTCCCAAGAAGGAAACATCTCCTGATTTCCTGGCTTCAGTCTGCATTTGCAGTAATCTTTGCACCTAGAAATACAAAGTCTGTCATGGCCTCCACCTTTTCTCTCTCTATTTCCCATTTGTCAACCATTCTTGTTGCCATAATCTTGGTTTTTTTAAAAATGTTTGCGCTTTCTTCTTTCACCTTGGTTAGAAGGCTCCTCAGCTCCTCCTCACTTTCAGCCATCAAAGTGGTGTCATCTGCATATCTAAGGTTGTTAATGTTTCTTCCAGCAATTTTTACCCCAGGCTTGCATTGGTCAAGCCCCGCACATCGCATGATGTGTTCGCATGATGAATAGGTTGGGTGAGAAACAGAAATAGATGTTTTTCCGAAACTCCCTGCCTTTCTCCATTATCCAGCATCCGGATATTGACAATTGGGTCTCTCGTTCCTCTACCTTTTCTAAACCCAGTTTGTACATCTGGCCATACAGTCTGAAAAGCTCTTCTTACAGTCAGGAAGTTCAGGTGGAATCTCCTTTCCTGTCATTTGTACTCATGGCTCCATTGAGTCTTTAAGTAGTTTTACAGTCAAACACTTTACCTGCTTCTCTTTGGTAGGCGATGAGCTCTCCGTTGGCCAGAGACACAAACACCTGGTTATCAAGGTACCTGCGGGGAAAGAGATGGCTCTGTAATATCAGTTGGAACGAGCAAAGGGATACTAGACGTTGTTTGAGAAGAAGATGGAACAAGGGCTTCCCTGACAATGTCACGACTCCTCAACTCCCATGATTTTTGGGGGACACCAAAAGTTCCAAATTACTATGGCTTTTTGAAATGAGGTGTTTCCTCACCACCTCTTTTAATGGACTCTTTCCATTATGTAAAGAGACATGGAAATGTGAAAATATTTTCCACATTCCTACAGTAAAGCAGGCATTGGATTCCCCTGGAAAGGAAACCCGAACATGTGTTGCCTTCAAGTTGTCTACTAAGCTAGGGTGCACAATTGTATATATTTTCTTGGTTTTACTAGTAAATGGCGGAGCAAGGAACACAGTCTTTCATCCTATGGATTCTGCAACTCCAGCAAACATATATTTTCAGCCATATGGACTGGAAACTGGCTTTCAAACAATAATGGAAGTCAATAATAGAATCATAGAATCAAAGAGTTGGAAGAGACCTCATGGGCCACCCAGTCCAACCCCATTCTGCCAAGAAGCAGGAATATTGCATTCAAATCACCCCTGACAGATGGCCATCCAGCCTCTGTTTAAAAGCTTCCAAAGAAGGAGCCTCCACCACACTCCGAGGCAGAGAGTTCCACTGCTGAACTCTCTGGAAGCTGGATTTTATGTCCAATGCTACTTTTTTTTTCAACTTGGAATAATCCCAAATGTAGTTTTGACACTTACAGGATACATGTCACGGAGGCCGAGTGCTGCATCTTCATGCTGTTCTTCCTGTTGCGGATATTATCTGAAGACTGGTAGACGTGGATGCTGAAACCCAAAGGGAAGGAAGGAAAGAAGACGTGAGATCCTTCAAATGGTTCAAAGGCAATGAATAGACACAAATTGCTGTGCCAAACTAGCATTGCCTGCTGGAGAACTAGAATTTCCTGGCTTCCTAACAAAGCCCCGGTGGCGCAATGGGTTAAACCCATGATGGTGAACCTATGACACACGTGTCAGCACTGACACGCATGGCTATTTTTGATGACACGCAGACACAAGCGGCCACATACAGAGAAATACACCTTATAAGAGCCAATCTAATTCCGTCCTTAAATTTGTAAAAGGCTCTACAAATTTAACATCTACACGTTTGAGCATTGTTCACTCCATAACTCAGCATGGATTATATATTTTTCTTATTTAAACTATAAATATTGCAAAATTATGTTTGTTTTTTTCTCAAAGTGACACTCCACCCAAGTTATGCTCAGGTTTTTGGCAAATTTTGGCACACCAAGCTCAAAAGGTTGCTCATCATTGGGTTCATAGAATCATAGAATCAAAGAGTTGGAAGAGACCTCATGGGCCATCCAGTCCAACCCACTTTTGCCAAGAAGCAGGAATATTGCATTCAAATCACCCCTGACAGATGGCCATCCAGCCTCTGTTTAAAAGCTTCCAAAGAAGGAGCCTCCACCACACTCTGGGGCAGAGAGTTCCACTGCTGAACGGCTCTCACAGTCAGGAAGTTCCTCCTCATGTTCAGATGGAATCTCCTTTCTTGTAGTTTGAAGCCATTGTTCCATGCGTCCTAGTCTCCAGGGAAGCAGAAAACAAGCTTGCTCCCTCCTCCCTGTGGCTTCCTCTCACATATTTATACATGGCTATCATATCCCCTCTCAGCCTTCTCTTCTTCAGGCTAAACATGCCCAGCTCCTTAAGCCGCTCCTCATAGGGCTTGTTCTCCAGACCCTTGATCATTTGAGTCTCCCCTTCCTCTGGACACATTCCAGCTTGTCAATATCTCTCTTGAATTGTGGTGCCCAGAATTGGACACAATATTCCAGGTGTGGTCTCACCAAAACAGAATAGAGGGGTAGCATTACTTCCCTAGTTAAACCCTTGTGCTCTGCCTAAGTGCCAATTCAGTTTGCATCCCATTTTGTGTTTGCTATTTACGCGGAAGACAGAGGTTGTTCCTAGAGCAGCCAGGTCTGAATCCACCCACCATCCGTCTTCGGTGCCCAGCCACATGGAGCTCTGATAGGCCTCGGGGTCGGTGCTCAGCAGGTCCTCCAGGCTTCCTCTGGTGAAGGACCCTCGGCTCGACCGCCGCATCGCCCGGCCGTCCATGGGGCTCTCGCTGTTCCGGTTCTGGGCGCAAGCGGAGCTGAGCGGAAGGAAGGCTCCGGGGTCTTGCTCTTCTTCAGAGCTGGTGGTTTCTGCTGTCGCATCTTTAGAGCTCGGGATCTCCTCATCTGGAAAACAAAAGGAGAGGCACATATCAGTTGAGGTTGGTTTTCAACATCCGCAGGGAGACCAAGGTGCTTGTTTATAAAGCTGTTGCCCTCCCAACCCTGCTATACGCCTGTGAGATGTGGACTGTCTACAGCAGTGGTTCTCAACCTTCCTCATGCTGTGACCCCTTAACACAATTCCGCATGTTGTGGTGACCCCCAACCATAAAATTATTTCCCTTCCTACTTCATACCTGTCATTTTGCTACTGTTATTAATCATAATATAAATATCTGATATGCAGGATGAATTCTCATTCACTGGACCAAATTTGGCACAAATACCCGAACGCTCAAATTGGAATACTGGTGGGGTTGATTTTGTCATTTGGGAGTTGTAGTTGCTGGGATTTATAGTTCACCTGCAATCAAAGAGCATTCTGAACTCCACCAGCGATGGAATTGGACCAAAATTGATACACAGAACTCCCATGACTGACAGAAAATAGTGGAAGGGTTTGGTGGGCACTGACCTTGAGTTTTGGAGTTGTAGTTCGCCTATATCCAGAGAGCGTTGTGCACTCGAACAATGATGGATCTGGACTAAACTTGGCACAAATACTCAATTTGCCCAAATGCGAACACTGGTGGAGTTTGGGGGAAATAGATCTTGATATTTTGGGAGTTGTAGTTGCTGGGATTTATAGCACACCTACAATCAAAGAGCATTCTGAATCCCACCAAGGACAGAATTGGGCCAAACTTCCATCATAGAACCCCCATGACCAAGAGAAAATACTGTGTTTTTGGTTGTCTTTAGTGACCCCTCTGACACTCCCTCATGACCCCTCCAGGGGTCCCGACCCCCAGGTTGAGAACCACTAGTCTACAGACATTACATGCAACTCCTGGACCAATTCCATCAGCGCTGCCTCTGGAAAATCCTGCAAATCTCTTGGGAAGACAGGCGGACAAACGTCAGTGTGCTGGAAGAAGCAAAGACCACCAACATTGAAGCGATGGTCCTCCGCCATCAACTCCGCTGGATCGGCCATGTTGTCTGGATGCCCGACCAATGTTTCCCAAAGCAGTTGCTCTACTCCGAACTCAAAAACGGAAAATGGAATGTTGGTGGGCAGGAAAAGAGATTTTAAGACGGGCTCAAAGCCAACCTTAAAAACTCTGGCATAGACACTGAGAACTGGGAAGCCCTGGCCCTTGATCACTCCAGCTGGAGGTCAGCTGTGACCCGACCGGGACCGCCTTCCACCTGGAAACCCATGCCCTCACTGTGGGAGAAGATGCAGAGAGGAAACAAACAAGGACATCTAATCACCTCTCAACAAAAGTTTATTCCAGGCACTGTCAGGCCATTATATGCTAATCAAGGTGGTCAGCTGAAACATTCACACCTAGCTCCAGCAGTCAAGAGTGCTTTGTCTCACCCTGGTCATTCCACAGATATACTATAAACACATTTTCCTAGTTCCAACAGACCTCACTACCTTTGAGGATGCTTGCCATAGATGCAGGCGAAACGTCAGGAGAGAATGCCTCTAGACCAGTGGTTCTCAACCTTCCTAATGCCGTGACTCCTTAATACAGTCCCTCATGTTGTGGTGACCCCCAACCATAATATTGTTTTTGTTGCTACTTCATAACTGTCATTTTACTACTGTTATAAATCATAATGTAAATATCTGATCTGCAGGATGCATTTTCATTCACTGGACCAAACTGGGCACAAACACCCAATACACCCAAATGTGAATGCTAGTGGGGTTGGGGGAGGATTGATTTTGTAATTTGGGTGTTGTAGTTACTGGGATTTATAGTTCACCTATAAATTCTGAACTCCACCAGCGATGGATTTGAACCAAACTTGGCTCCCATGACCAATGGAAAACACTGGAAGGGTTTGATGGGCATTGACTTTGAGAGTTGTAGTTCACCTATATCCAGAGAGCATTGTGGACTCATGCAATGGTGGATCTGGACCAAACTTGGCACAAATACTCAATATGCCCAAATGTCAACACTGGTGGAGTCTTGGGAAAATAGATCTTGACATTTGGGAGTTGTAGTTGCTGGGATTTATAGTTCATCACAATCAAAGAACATTCTGAGCTGCACCAACGATGGAATTGGCTCAAACTTCCCACATGGAATTCCCATAACCATTAGAAAATACTGTGTTTTCTTATGGTCTTTGGCGACCCCTCTGACACCCCTTCGCGACCCCCTCAGGGGTCCCGACCCCCAGGTTGAGAAACACTGCTCTATCTAAACTGCACACCAACTTGCTCCATTTTGACTCCTTACTCAAAAATAAAAGATAAAATAAATAATAATAATAATAATATTTGGTCACGGTGTTCCACTGTGTATGGAAGGTGTCATATAATTCTGTGTAAAATACAACAGTTACTCTTAACCTGGCGAGCTGAATAAGCAACAGCGGCTACTGAATAAACCATCTCTGAACATTTACAGCTTAGCCATAAATGTTTAGTTTCTTAGGAACTAAAAGCTAATTACAGCATGTGTTTAAATATTTCTACACCGCCTTCCTACAAACTTGGTTCCTATTTGGAAGGTCCTTGGCTGCTTATCTGGCCAATGGAAACAGATGAAACTTCCAATACTAACAATTTACTTTTTGAATATATTGCAACCTCCTCTATACAAAAATACTGGGTTGTGTCAGCTTTAAAAAAACTAAACACGTACCTATTTATGTTTCTCAACTTTCCTTCTGCCGTGACCCCTTAAGTACAGTTCCTCATGTTGTGGTGATCCCCCCAATATTAAAATTATTTTTGTCGCTACTTCATAACTGGAATTTTGCTACTGTTATGAATCATAATGTACATATTTGATATGCAGGATGTATTTTCATTCACTGGACCAAATTTGGCACAAATACCCAATACGCCCAAAGCTGGTGGGGTTGGGAGGAATTGATATCGTCATTTGTGAGTTGTAGTTTCTGGGATTTATAGTTCACCTACAATCAAAGAGCATTCTGAACTCCACCAACGATGGAATTGAACCAAACTTGGCACACACAACTCCCATGACCAAAGAAAATAGTGGAAGGGTTTGGTGGACATTGACCTTGAGTTTGGAAGATGTAGTTCACCTACATCAGGGGTAGGGAACCTTTGGCCCTCCAGCTGTGGTGGACTTCAACTCCCACAATTCCTTGAGGCTCGGCATTCGCCCCAAAGGCTTACCTTGGCCCAATGCCGAGCCTCAAGGAATTGTGGGAGTTGAAGTCCACCACAGCTGGAGGGCCAAAGGGTCCCTACCCCTGCCTACATCAAGGTGATACTGTGGACTCCAACAATTTTGAATCTAGACCCAACTTGGAACTAATACTCAATATGCCCAAATGTCAACACTGTTGGGGTTTGGGGAAAATAGACCTTGACATTTGGGAGTTGTCGTTGCTGAGATGTATAGTTCACCTACAATCAAAGAGCATTCTGAACTCCACCAACGATGGAATTGAACCAAACTTGGCACACACAACTCCCATGACCAAAGAAAATAGTGGAAGGGTTTGGTGGACATTGACCTTGAGTTTGGAAGATGTAGTTCACCTACATCAAGAGAGCACTGTGGACTCAAGCAGTAATGGATCTGGACCAAACTTGGCACGAATACGCAATATGCCCAAATGTGAACACTGGTGGAGCCTGGGGGAAACAGACCTTGACATTTTGGAGTTGTCGTTGCTGAGATGTATAGTTCACCTACTATCAAAGAGCATTCTGAACTCCACCAATGATGGAATTGAACCAAACTTGGCACACAGGACTCCCAACAGAAAATCCTGGAAGGGTTTGGTGGGCACCAACCTTGACTTTTGGAGTTGTAGTTCACCTACATCCAGAGAGCACTGTGGACTCAAACTATGATGGGTCTGCACGAATACTCAATATGCCCAAATGTGAACACAGGTGGAATTTAGGCAAAACAGACCTTGATATTTGGGAGTTGTTGCTGCTGGGATTTATAGTTCACCTACAATCAAAAAGCATTCTGAACTCTACCAACGATGGAATTGAACCAAACTCCCATGACCAACAGAAAATACTGGAAGGGTTTGGTGGCCACTGACCTTGAGTTTTGGAGTTGTAGTTCACCTGCATCCAATGATGGAACTGAACCAAACTTGGCACACAGAACTCCCATTGCCAAGAGAGAGTATTGGACAGGTTTGGTGGGCATTGTCCTTGAGTTCTGGAGTTGTAGTTCACCTACATCCAGAGAGGACTGTGGACTCAAATATTGATGGATCTTGACCAAACTTGACATGAATCCTCATTATGCCCAAATGTGAACACTGGTGGGGTTTGGAGAAAATAGACCTTGACATTTGGGAGTTGTAATTGCTGGGATCTATAGTTCACCTACTATCAAAGAGCATTCTGTATCCCACCAACTATAGAATTGGGCAAAACTTCCCACACAGGATCCTTATGTGTTTTCTGATGGTCTTTGGCAACCCCTCTGGACACCCCCTTGCGACCCTCCCAGGGATCCTGACCCCCAGGTTAAGAAACGCTGGTTTAGGTTGTAAAGAATGAGGCAATACAGTTTTTTTTAAAAAAGAAATATGCAATTTCAACTGGCTGCTTCTGGAGACTTTAATTTAGACGAGGGAGACATTTTTAGCTTTCCATGCAGCTTCCGGAGAAAATGAGAACTAGTAATTTGATATTATTACCATCCAGAATAGCTTCTGTTGCATATTTATGTTCTGAAAGATACAGATTTGGGTCTAGAATGGAGAGGTATTTGGCCACAAAAAAAGCTTTCAATGAGTTACAGGCCCTTAGTACAACTCAGGATTCATCTATAGCAGGCATGGGCCAACTTCGGCCCTCCAGGTGTTTTGGACTTCAACTCCCACAATTCCTAACAGCCTATCGGCTGTTAGGAATTGTGGGAGTTGAAGTCCAAAACATCTGGAGGGCCGAAGTTGACCCATGCCTGTTATAGTGAGAAAGGTGGCATATACATCAAGGGATTGACCAGGACTCACTTCCAAAGCTGGAGGAGATGGTGGAATGGCTGGCTTGGCTCTGGAGGGTCCCAGAAGGGCTGGGTGAGGACTCGTCATCGGTATCATCGCTGTCAAAAGGCACCAGGTCCCGATTGGTGCTGTCCATTGGCTCCGAAAGCTCCAAGGAAGACCCCGAGATGGAGATATGCAGGCACTGCTGAGGACCAGGCTCCTCCAGGTTCGCCACCTGGACCGGTTCCGAGGACGGACTGGTCAGAGACGTGGGACGCTCTCTGGGGGTCAAAACAAAGGAAATCATAGAATCATAGAATAATAGAATTGGAAGAGACCACATGGGCCATCTAGTCCATGCAGTAAAAGTACCATCAAAGCACCTCTGATAGATCGTCATCCATCTATGATACTTCATCAATGGCCAGCTATTTAACCTCAGCAGACTAGAAGCCAAAACCAAGGTCGCAAGAACATCTGTTACAGAACTCCAATATACTGATGACAATGTCATCTGTGCACATTCAGAAGACCTACAAGCCACTCTAAACACCTTTACAGAAGCATACGAGAAGCTTGGCCTGTCATTGAACATCGAGAAAATCAAAGTGCTCTTTCCAGCAGTCACCAACCAATCCCTCTCCAATGCCAGAAATACAGCTTAATGGTGTAACATTAAAAAATGTTGACCATTTTGGCTCCCTTGGAAGCCACCTCTCCACAAAAGTCAACATTGACACTGAAATGTAACACCGCCTGAGCTCTGTCTGAATGAAGCAGAGAGTGTTTGAGGACTGGGACATCCGTAGGGAGACAAAGATGCTTGTTTATAAAGCCATTGTCCTCCCAACCCTGCTTACTTACTTAGGTGATCCCTCATTGGGCAAGTAGGATAGTCTTCCATGATCAGTATTCTTGTGGATCCGTAGGTGGCTGTGGAGCCTTATTCTTGATCTGCATCTTTTCCCGCAGTAAAGGCATTGGTTTCCAGGTGGAAGGCGGTCTCGGTCGGGGTTGGCTTGATGTGCCTTCCTCTTGGCACGTTTCTCTCTTTCACCCTCTATTCGTGCCTCTTCAAATTCTGCAGCACTGCTGGTCACAGCTGACCTCCAGCTAGAGTGCTCAAGGGCCAGGGTTTCAAAGAGGCATGAATGGAGGGCGAAAAGGAGAAACGTGCCAAGAGGAAGGTGCATCAAGCCAACCCTGAGCAGGACAGCCTTCTGATGTCCTCACCGCAGAAGAACATGTGGGTCAAGAACAGGCCTCCACATCACCTACGGACCCACTGCCAAGACACATCTGGAAGACCATCATCCTCGAGCTACGAGGGATTACCTAAGTAAGTAAGTAAAAGCTTCCAAGGAAAGCAGTCAGCAAAAGGGGGCTGATCCTCACCAAACTGTCTCACGATTACATAATTTAGCACAGTATTGCAATATTGTACAAATTGTGAAAACCTAATAAAATAATATGAAAAAAATCCATTATCTTAGTGGGTTGTTGTAGGTTTTTTCAGGCTGTATGGCCATGATCTAGAGGCATTCTCTCTTGACGTTTCGCCTGGCCGTTTTTCAGGCTGTATGGCCATGGTCTAGAGCAGTGGTTCTCAACCTTCCTAATGCCGTGACCCCTTAATACAGTTCCTCATGTTGTGGTGACCCCCAACCATAACATTGCATTTGTTGCTACTTCATAACAGTCATTTTACTACTGTTATAAATCATAATGTAAATATCAGATATGCAAGATGTATTTTCATTCACGGACCAAACTGGGCACAAATACCCAATGCAACCACATGTAAATGCTAGTGGGGTTGGGGGAGGATTGATTTTGTAATTTGGGAGTTGTAGTTGCTGGGATTTATAGTTCACCTATAATCAAAGAGCATTCTGAACTCCACCAGCGATGGATTTGAACCTAATTTGCCACACAGAACTCCCATGACCAACAGAAAACACTGGAAGGGTTTGGTGGGCATTGACCTTGAGTTTGGGAGTTGTAGTTCACCTATATCCAGAGAGCACAATGGAGGATCTGTACCAAACTTGGCACAAATACTCAATATGTGCAAATGTGAACACTGGTGGAGCCTGGGGAAAATAGACCTTGACTTTTGAGAGTTGTAGTTACTGGGATTTATAATTCATTACAATCAAAGAACATTCTGAACTCCACCAACGATAGAATTGGCTCAAATTACCCACATGGAATCCCCATGACCATCAGAAAATACTGTGTTTTCTGATGGTCTTTGGTGACCCCTCTGACACCCCTTCGCGACCCCCTCAGGGGTCCCGACCCCCAGGTTGAGAAACACTGTCTTAGGGCAATCATGGCCGGAATCACTGGGCTGTTGTAGGTTTTTTTTGGGCTATATGGCCATGGTCTAGACGTCTCTCCTACCTCTGAGGATGCTTGCCATAGATGCAGGCGAAAGGTCAGGAGAGAATGCTTCTAGAACATGGCCATACAGCCCGAAAAACCTACAACAACCCAGTGATTCCGGCCAGGAAATCCTTCAACAATACATTATCTTAGTTATTTTACTATGGAAGGGCTTTCCATGGAGAGGCCTATTTATTTCACTTGGAACAGTGTAGATGAGGCCTGGGCAAACTTCATCCCTCCAGGAGTTTTGGACTTCAATCGGCTGTTGGGAATTGTGGGAGTTGAAGTCCAAAACACCTGGAGGGAGGGCCAAAGTTTGCCCATGCCAGGTGTAGATGCCCTGTTCCAAGTGAAATCCTACCAGCAGGAATGAATCAATCAAATATCTTCCTTGGGATCTACCTGCTCCCACCTTGATTGCTCCTCAGCCAGGTATGGAGTGGTTGTGCCGATCAGGGGATTCATCTACACCAGGGGTCCTCAAACGTTTTAAACCAGGGGCCAGTTCACTGTCCCTCAGACCGTTGGAGGGACGGACTATAGTTCTAGCCCTCTTAGGCAGTAATTCCAGGAGCAGAGAATGGGAAATCTTCCTATTTCTAGTCTGAACAAAATCTGGCTACCAATATTTAAAAAACTCTAAAATTATAACTGTAAATAAAGAACAACACTCAAACACAGGGGAACTCCAGACAAGAAACAATCAGGGCCAGCTAATCACCTCTCAACAAAGGATTCTCCCTAAAAACTGTCAGGCTATGAAATGGTAATCAAGGTGGCCAATGGAAACATTCATACCTACCTCCAACAGACAAGAGTTCTTTCTCCCACCCTGGATCTTCCACAATTTTCCTAGTTAAAGGTTTTCCTCTGACATGAAGTCCAGTCGTGTCTGACTCTGGGGTTGGTGCTCATCTCATTTCTAAGCGAAGAGCGGCGTTGTCCGTAGACACCTCCAAGGTCATGTGGCCGGCATGACTGCATGGCGCGCCGGGGCAGCCTCCCTTGGCTGGCTCACGCTGCCCATTGGGCCTGACGGATAGCGTGAGCCTGCCAAGGGAGGAGTAGCCCCGCGTGGCCTACTCGTGCGTAAAGCATCTTGCGAGGTGCTTTACGCGCGAGTAGACCACGCGGAGCAGCTGCCCTTGGCTGGCTTATGCTGACGGATAGCGTGAGCCAGCCAAGGGAGGGGCACTGTGTGTGGGGGGCACTCCTCCTCTGCGGGCCGGATAAGTGCCCTTGATGGGCCGAAAGTGGCCCGCGGGCCGTAGTTTGGGGACCCCTGATCTACACTAATGCAGTTTGACACCATTTGAACTTCCATGTCTCAATGCTATGGAATAATGGTGCCCAAGTGGTGTCAAACTGCGTTAATTCCACAATGCGGATGCCCCCAGGGACCTGCAGTCTTGAAAAGCGTCTCCTTTCCCCACCTGTAGGTCCTCTTGAGTCCCGGCACGGAGGCGATGCAGAGGATCCTGGCGGAGCAGACGGCGATGCAGGCTTCGACGATGGGCTCCTTCCGGATGCTGAGGAGGCAGACCTGCCCCACGTAGCCGTCGCTGTTGCAAACCCAGACTTCGTAGGCGTTTTCAGGGCTGCTGTGGCTGGGAGAGGCACAGGAGAACTGCAAGAGAGAGAGAACACAACAGAAGGGCCAGGTTCAAAACATGCTCGGCTTCTATTGCTCTAGAGACTTCCAATATGGCAATATCCTATTTATGGCCTGATCAATAGGAGCCAAGTGTCTAGACCCAGGGAAGTCATGCCGCCCCCCCCCCCACCTTGGTCAGACCACACCTGGAATCACCTTGGGTCCAATTCTGGGCACCGCAATTGAAGAGAGATGTTGACAAGTTGGAATGTGTCCAGAAGAGAGAGACTAAAATGCTCACAGGAAGAGAGATCTCTATTTATAACCAATGGCAAAATTACTTATCTATTCCTAAAAGGACCAATGGTCTGGAGAACAAGCCCTATGAGGAGCGGCTTAAAGAGCTGGGCATGTTTAGCCTGCAGAAGATAAGGCAGAGAGGAGACATGATAGCAATGTATAAATATGTGAGGGGAAGTCATAGGGAGGAGGGAGCGAACTTGTTTTCTGCTGCCCTGGAGACTAGGACGCAATGGAGCCATGGGTTCAAACTACAGGAAAGGACACTCCACCTGAACATTAGGAAGAACTTCCTGACTGGGAGAGCTGTTCAGCAGCGGAACTCTCTGCCTCTGAGTGTAGTGGAGGCTTCTTCTTTGGAGGCTTTTAAGCAGAGGCTGGATGGCCATCCGTCGTGAGTGCTTTGAATGTGATTTTCCTGCTTCTTAGAAGAATGGGGTTGGACTGGATGGCCTATGAGGTCTCTTCCAACTCTAGGATTCTATTAATATTGCCATATTGTAAGCTGCTCTGAGCCCCCCTTGGGGTGGGAGAGAGTGGAATATGTTACAGTAAGTTGTAGCAGGACCAAGTGTGTGTGTGTTGAAGAAAAACCTTATGATGGTAATTATTATGTGCAGCTGGTAATGTAGGTCAACCAGCGATCTTGGACCACACCCGATAGGGTATAAGGTCACCCTGAGTTCCCCTTGTGGGGAGAAGGGCGGGATAGAAGTGGACGAAATAAATAAATACAATATAACTGTATGGGTTTTTAGAATACAGTTCTGGAGAGCTTTTTCTCTGAGGAAGCCACAGAGAGGAGGGAGCAAGCTTGTTTTCTGCTTCCCTGGAGATTAGGACGCGGAACAATGGCTTCAAACTACAAGAGAGGAGATTCCATCTGAACATGACGAAGAACTTCCTGACTGTGAGAGAGAGCCGTTCAGCAGTGGAACTCTCTGCCCCGGAGTGTGGTGGAGGCTCCTTCTTTGGAAGCTTTTAAGCAGAGGCTGGATGGCCATCTGTCAGGGGTGATTTGAATGCAATATTCCTGCTTCTTGGCAGAATGGGGTTGGACTGGATGGCCCACGAGGTTTCTTCCAACTCTTTGATTCTATGATTCTATGAGGAGATCTACGCTCAAAGGCTCTGCTCGGAGGAGAAGGTTGGAGAGAAGCCATTATGGTGCTCTGAAGGAAGTTATGGTGGAATAGCTGTTTGCTTAAGATTTATGTTTATATATATATATATGCTCTGTGCATAATGAGTACCTTAAAAACAAAAGAACCAATGAACGAAATCACACCAAATTTGGCAACAAAACATCTCACTACACAAGGAGTGACCATCACTCAAAATTTTATGATTTTGTCATTTGGGAGTTGTAGTTGCTGGGATTTATAGTACACCTAAAACCAAAGAGCATTCTGAACTCCATCAATGATGGAATTGAACCAAACTTGGCACACAAGAACTCCCATAACCAACAGAAAATACTAGAAGGGTTTGGTGGGCATTGACCTTGAGTTTGGGAGTTGTAGTTCACCTACATCCAGAGAGCACTGTGGACTCACACAATGATGAATCTGGACCAAACTTGGCACGAATATTCCATATGCCCAAATATGAACACAGATGGAGTTTGGGGGGAATAGACCATGACATTTAGGAGTTGTAGTTGCTGGGATTTAGAGTTCACCTACAATCAAAAGCATTCTGAATCTCACGAACGAGAGAATTGGGGCAAACTTCCCACACTGAACCCTCATGACCAACAGAAAATACTTAAGGCCATCCGGTCCAACTCTCTTCACCAGGACAAGAAAACGTAATCAAAGCCCTCCTGTCAAAGAGCCATCCTGCCATAGATATAGATCGATATATATGATTCACACAGAGACAGATATAGTATCATAGATTTGAAACTGACCCCTTAAAAAGGACAATTATATGTTACATATCCCAGAGTAGGCAAACCAGACACTTTCCACATCAACACTGACAAAGAAACAAGATGTACTGCTTACCCACAAGCACAAAGACATTACATATATTAGAAATCAACACCTTCTCAATATTTTCCAGATCACCAGACTGGGCCACAGCAACGTGTGGCAGGGGACGGCTAGTAAATAATAAATAAATAGAGACTAAGACACAATGGAGAAATGTTTCCAAACTACAGGCAGCTCCCAAGTTACAGATAAGATCTGTTTTATTTTTTGAATAATGTTGTTGTAATGTATTTTGTATGTTGTATGTTGTTGGCTTTAGGCCGAAAGTGAGGAGGAGCTGAGGAGCCTTCTAATCAAGGTGAAAGAAGAAAGCGCAAAAGCCGGGTTGCAGCTAAACGTCAAAAAAACCAAGATTATGGCAACAAGAATGATTGACAACTGGAAATAGAGGGAGAAACCGTGGAGGCGTGACAGACTTTGTATTTCTAGGTGCAAAGATTACTGCAGATGCAGACTGCAGCCAGGAAATCAGAAGACGCTTACTTCTTGGGAGGAGAGCAATGTCCAATCTCGATAAAATAGTGAAGAGTAGAGACATCAGACTGGCAACAAAGATCCGCCTAGTCAAAGCCATGGTATTTCCTGTAGTAACCTACGGATGTGAGAGCTGGACCTTAGGGAAGGCTGAGCGAAGGAAGATCGATGCTTTTGAGCTGTGGTGTTGGAGGAAAGTTCTGAGAGTGCCTTGGACTGCGAGAAGATCCAACCAGTCCATCCTCCAGGAAATAAAGCCCGACTGCTCATGGAGGGAAGGAGACTAGAGACAAAGTTGAAGTACTTTGGCCACATCATGAGCATATATACATTAGAATGCAATTAGTAATAAACAAGGAAAGGAAGAGGGGCCGACCAAGGGCAAGATGGATGGATGGCATCCTTGAAGTGACTGGACTGACCTTGAAGGAGCTGGGGGTGGTAACGGCCGACAGGGAGCTCTGGCGTGGGCTGGTCCATGAGGTCACGAAGAGTCGGAGACGACTGAACGAATGAACAACAACAATGTTGTTGGCATCGAATTGTTGCCGTTGTAAGCCGCCTTGAGTTGAGAAGGACAGGATAGAAATGTTGGAAATAAATACATAAATAAATAAATAATAAAAATTAAGAAAAAAATCATGGTTCCAACCAGATTCCTTTCAAGCGCAATGATGTTAAATGGCAATGTGCCATGTGGGTTATTTGTTACACACCTGGCCATGGGAACAAATGTTTTGCTCAGTGTTGAATTAGCAGCTGGAAACAAACAGTGGACTATGTGAACAGGATTGGGAAAAGGGAGACCTACTTGCATCCCGCTCCTCGTCTTCATGATGGGAATGGCCTTCAGGAACTCGGGGTCCAGGCAGTTTTTGTTGGAAGCTGGTTAGGGAAAACAACAATCAATCAATCAATCAATCAGTCAATCAATCAATCAATCAAGGAAGTCATGTTTTAATAATGGCGATAATTATTCCTTTTTAACTTCTGGACTTGTGTTTTAGTTGCATCATGTAAAGCAGTGGTTCTCAACCTTCACAATGCTGTGACCTTTTAATACAATTCCTCATGTTGTGGTGACCCCCAACCATAAAATTATTTTTTGTTGCTACTTCGTAACTGTAATTTTGCTACTGTTATGAATCATAATGTAAATATCTGATATGCAGTATGTATTGTCATTCACTGGACCAAATCTGGCACAAATACCCAATCACCCAAATTTGAATACTGGTAGGGTTGGTGGAGGATTGATTTTGTAATTTGGGATGTATAGTTCACCTACACTCAAAGAGCATTTTGAACTCCACCAGTGATAGAATTGAACCAAACTTCGCACACAGGACTCCCATGACCACCGGAAAATACTAGAAGGGCTTGGTGGGCATTGTCCTTGAGTTTTGGACTTGTAGTTCACCTACATCCAGAGAGGACTGTGGACTCAAACAATGATGGATTTGGACCAAACTTGGCATGGATATTCAATATGCCCAAATGTGAACACTGGTGGAGTTTGGGGAAAATAGACCTTGACATTTGGGAATTGTAATTGCTGGGATTTATAGTTCACCTGCAATCAAAGAGCACTCTGAACTCCACCAACAATAGAATTGGGCTGAACTTCCCACACAGGACCCCCATGATCAACAGAAAATACTATGTTTTCTGCTTGTCTTTGGTGACCCTTCTGACACCCCCTCATGACTCCCCAGGGGTCCCGACCCCCGGGTTTTATTTATTTATTTATTTATTTGTTATTCGAACTTATATGCCACCACTCCCCTGGGGCTCGGAGCGGCTTACAAGAATGACTAAAATCTAACACAATTTAAAAACAATTTAAAAACAGCAATATCAACAATCAAAGGTGGAGAAATGCTGATGTAAAGATTTTGTAATGAGATTCCAGTGGATGTTGACTATAGAAGAGGCATGGGCAAACTCTGGCCCTCCATGTGTTTTGGAATCCAACTCCCACAATTCCTAATAGCCTACCAAAACACCTGGAGGGCCAACATTTGCCCATGCCTCTTCTATAGAATTTTATTATTATTATTATTTACTTGTAGTAAATAATATTTTTTCCATTGTCTTTGTTATCTTTTCCCAGAACGGAATTTGATGATCTTTGGGCATTCCCACTACATATGTTGGGTTGGACAAGATGACTTTTGGGGATCCCTGTAACAGAAACTTTAGAGCAGAGGTAGGGAACCTTTGGCCCTCCAGCTGTGGTGGACTTCAACTCCCACAATTCCTTGAGGCTCGGCATTCGCCCCAAAGGCTTACCTTGGCCCAATGCCGAGCCTCAAGGAATTGTGGGAGTTGAAGTCCACCACAGCTGGAGGGCCAAAGGTTCCCTACCCCTGCTTTAGAGGCTCGTTTCTCCGTCATTGTTATGGCTATCACGGTGAAATTTGGTTCACTGATAGTGTAAGGGAAAATAGCCTAGGGAATGCAGTCCATCACTCTGGGGACTTGCCAGGACGCTATGGATCACAGGAGCCCAAACAGTTAGAGCAAAACACAGGCTTATTTCTACTGATCAGTGAGAAAGGTGGACAGACAGCATAAATAGAGTAATGCCAATCCCAAGCTGCCACGCCCTAACGGAGCAGCCAAGAAGCTTATATACCCTCCGGCAATCATTTAGCAATCATGTTCCAGTAATCATGTAGCAACCACGTACTCTGTGGTCGGCCTGTTCCAGTAAACATGTAGTAGTCATGTACCCTGTAGTCGACCACCGTGTACCTTGTGGTCAGCCTGAAGCAATCATGGAGCAAGCATGCCTTGGTCCATCATGCTGTTTGTCACAGGAGTTATACCATCATCAAATATGGCATGCATGCAGCACGTATGCCTGAAGCACACAGTATCTCCAATATGGCATTCCCTCTCAATAGGATACATTTACAATTGTATGTCCTCAGAACATTTCACTCAACCACTGATTTTGGGGAATTTTTAAAAAAAGTTTTTGCAAGTAACACTTGTTTAAAAAAAACCCCAAAAGAGGTAGGTAAAGGTAAATGTTTCCCCTTAACATTAAGTCTAGTCGTGTCTGACTCTGGAGGGTGGTGCTCATCTCCATTTCTAAGCTAAAGAGCTGGCGTTGTCCGTAGACACCTCCAAGGTCATGTAGCCAGCATGACTAAATGCAGTGCCATTACCTTCCCGCAGAAGTGGTATCTATTGATCTACTCACGTTTGCATGTTTTCAAACTGCTAGGTTGTCAGGAGCTCGGCCTAACAGTGGGAGCTCACCCCGCTCCCCAGATTCAAACTACCAACCTTTCGATCAGCAAGTTCAGCTGCTCAGTGGTTTAACACACTGTGCACCCACGGCGACAGAACATGAGTAGGGCATCATCCCTGCAAAGTCTTAGAATGCTCACCCACTGATTTTTGTGACCCCACCCCCCAATTTAAGCACCTTGGGTGAGTCACACTCTCTCATCCTGAGATAATTGAAAAACTGTTTTTCTCTGACTATCAGGAAGACACATTTACGACTGTAAGCTTGTAGAATTTTTACTTTCAAGATCCCCCCCCCCCCATTATAGCTTTTTGAGTTGGGTTGGACTAGATGGTCTTTGGGTGTCCCTGTAGGGAACACTTTAGAGCAGGGATCCTCAAACTTTTTGAACAGAGGGCCAGGTCACAGTCCCTCAAACTGTTGGAGGGCCAGATTATAATTTGAAAAAAAAAAACATGAGTGAATTCCTCTGCACACTGCACATACCTTATTTGTAGCGCAGAAAACACTTTAAAACAATACAATAATTAAAATGAAGACACTTTTTAAGAAATATAAACTCATTAGTATTTCAATGGGAAATGCTGACCTGCTTTTGGCTGATGAGATAGGATTATTGTTGTTGTGTGCTTTCAAGTTGTTTCAGACTTTGGTTGACTTTGAGCGAGGGCCGGCTAAATGACCTTGGAGGGCCGTATCTGGCCCCCGGGCCTTAGTGTGAGGACCCCTGCTTTAGAGGCTCATTTTTCCATCATGTTTATGGCTATCAGGATGAAACTTGGCATACTTGTAGGACACATTTACACCTATAAGTCTGCCAAGACATTTCGCTCATCCAGGGGGAAAAAAAACAGGGAATTCTGTTTTGCACACTCCTACTCCAAATGGGCTACCTAGTTTCTTCTTGGTGTCCTCAAAGGCCTGCTCGAAGCTGTGGCGCGCATCAGGGTTGGGAAACTCAAAGATGTAGGACTCAGTGCCGTCCGCCTTGGTGGCCGTCAGCTCCATCTTGTTCGGCGGGAAGGACATGGTGAAGGACAGCGACTGCTTCTCGGCCAGCTCTCGGTGGATGGACGCCATCAGGTCCTTCAGCACGTCATCCAGGCCCTAGTAGTGTGGAGGCAGATAGGCATTGTCAGAGGGGAGAAATATAGGTTGTTGTTGCTCTAAAGCAGGCATGGACCAACTTCAGACCTCTAGGTGTTTGGAACTTCAACTCAAACTGCAAAGTCAATCAGTGAGGGTATTCTCCCCTACGTACCATCAACACTACTAAGATCGTCTGGAGAGGCCCTGCTCTCGGTCCCACCGGCCTCACAAGTGCGCCTGGTGGGGACGAGGGACAGGGCCTTCTCGGTGGTGGCCCCACGACTCTGGAACTCTCTCCCACTAGAGGTCAGAACCGCCCCATCTATCCTGACATTCAGGAAACGGGTGAAGACATGGCTGTGGAGACAGGCTTTTGATGAATGAGACAGCACCCTAGGATTGTGGATGGAGGATGAGGTATACTTGTTTTTAATATGATGACTGACCACCGTAGTTTTTTTTAAAATATAGTGGTTATTTTGAACGTGTACGTGTTATTGTAATTATGAACTATGATATTTTACTGATCGTATGATTTTATGGCTGTAAACCGGGCTGAGTCCCTCTACGAGGTGAGAAGCTCGGTATAGAAAACTTTGAAATAAATAAATAAATAAATAAATATCTGCATAGAGGTAGCCTGGCCTCTGTTGCCTGGAGGCATCCTCTGTTTGCAAGGTATTAACTGGCCCTTGATTATTAGCTGTCAAAACAGTAAATAAAGAACACCACTTAGAAACAGGAGAACTCCCAACAGCAAACAATCAGGTGCCAGTTAACACCTCCCAAACGGCTACCTCTATGCAGAACAATAACATTAAATATGTGACTGTATAATTAATGTTATTGTTTTAAAATAATTGTTATTAGTTTTATAAATACAAAGATAAAATCACGAACCAAATAGACAGACAAATGAACCATCAAACAGACAAACAAATACATTAATGTCATTGTTTTAATCTATTATGTATTTATAGTTTTATATTGTGGTTATATTGTGATATTACGGCATCGAATTGTTGCCAGTGTTAGCTGCTCTGAGTCCCCCCTCAGGGGTTGAGAAGGGCGGAGTAGAAATGTTGTAAATAAATAAAATACCCTCACTGATTGACTTTGCAACTTCATGGCTACTCGTCCTATTCAAGCTTGCAAACTGCAATATTCGCACTTGATTTAAACAGGTAAGAGTTCTTTCCCCCACCTGGACATTTTGCAGGTATATATATACACTCCACTTGCTTCACAGCCAACAGAACCTCTGAGAATGCTATTGGCCAGAGATGCAGGCAAAACATCAGAAGAGAATGCTGCTGGAACATGGCAAGACAGTCTGAAAAACTCACAACAACCCAGATGGTCCCTTAATTTCCTATATATAAGCGTAGTTCTTTCAATAAAGTCCTTTGTAATCTTTCAAGCTTGAACCTCTGAAGATGCCAGCCACAGATGCAGGTGAAACGTCAGGAGAGAATGCTGCTGGAACATGACAAGACAGCCGAAAAAACTCACAGCAACCCAGTGATTCCAGCCATGAAAGCCTCCAACAATACATTGAATATCTCTACAAAGACCCTTAAATCTTGAGACCACTCTTTACAAAATATACAGACCACTAAGGACAGTAATGCACTTTTGGTGAATCAGAGGAAACTCCACAGAGATGGAGGGGATCTGAATATGTTTTTACAGTTTTTAACTGAATTGTTTTTAATACTAATGATATTTAATTCTGTTTTAATATTTGTATATATTTTAACATTGTATTGAAATGCCTTTAAAGTTAGCTGCTTTGAATCTCCTTTGTGGAGACAAAAAGTGGGATATAAATAATAATAATAATAATAAGTATGGATCATCGATGTTGCAATCCCAGGCGATAGCAGAAGTGAAACAATTGGAAAAGCTGACACGATATGAGGATTTAAAGATGAAACAATAGATCGCATCCTTAGCTGCTGCAAGAAGATCGTGCAGACAAACTACAAACAGAGGCACAACACCGTTGCTCAGGTGATCCATTGGAACTTGTGCCACAAAGACCCATCTGCCTGCGACAAAGAACTGGTGGGATCACAAGCTGGGAAAAATTACAGAGAATGAACATGCCAAACTCCTCTGGGACTTCCGGATTCAGACAGAGTTTTGGAGCACAATACTCCTGACCTCACAATTGTAAAAAACAAAGTATGGATTGTTGATGTTGCAATCCCAGGTGACAGCAGGATTGAAGAGAAACAACTGGAAAAGCTGACACAATACAAGGATTTAAAGATCGAACTGCAAAGACTCTGGCACAAGCCAGTCAAGGTGGTCCCAGTGGTGATCGGCACACTGGGTGCAGTGCCTAAAGACCTTGGCCTGCACTTAAACACAATCGGCGCTGACAAAATTACCATCTGCCAGCTGCAAAAGGCCACCTTACTGGGATCTGCACGCGTTATTCGCTGATACAACACACAGTCCTAGACACTTGGGAAGTGTCTGACATGTGATCCAATACAACAGCCAGCAAAGTGATCTTGTCTGCTGTGGCCTCATTCTTTGTGTTTCAAAGAAGAAGAAGAGGGGGAGGAGGAGGAAGAGGAAGAGAGGAGGAGGAAGAAGGAAGAGGAGGAAGAGAAAGGAGGAGAAAGGAGGAGGGAAGAGGAGAAGAAGAAGGGAGGAGGAGAGGAGAGAGAAGAGGAAGAAGGAGGAAGAGAGGAGAAGAAGAAGGAGGAAGGAGGAGGAGGAGGAGGAGGAAGAGGAGAGGAAAGAGAGGATAGAGGAGGAAGGAGGGAAGAGGAAGGGAGAGGAGGAAGGAGGAGGGAAGAGGAGGAGGGAAGAGGAGGAGGAGGAGAGGGGAGGGGAAGGAGGAGGAAAAGGAGGAGGAAGGAGGAGGAGGAAAGGAGGAGGAGGAAGAGGAGGAGGAAGAGGAAGAGGAAGAGGAGGAGGAGGAGGAAGAGGACGAGGAAGTGTTAAAGGCTTTCATGGCTGGAATCACTGGGTTGTTGTGATTTTTTTGGGCTATATGGCCATGTTCCAGCAGCATTCCCTGCTAAAGTTTCACCTGCATCTGTGGCTCACATCTTCAGAAGTTCACAGATGCAGCCAAAACCTTAAGAGGGAATGCTGCCGGAATATAGCCATACAGCCCAAAAAACTCACAGCAACCCAATTATTATTATTATTATAATTTGGGAGGAGATTTCACAGTCCAGAGTAAGGCTTGCTTTGCATGTTCACCAGACTAACTTTCCAATGTTGGTGGGATACATAAGAGGGCCTTGGTCGAAGATATTCTTACCTGATGGGGAAAACTGAGCGTTTCGGAAAGCTTGCTGACTTGGCCGAGGGTGCTGAGGTCTTCGTCCAAACGGCAAATGGCCTTCTGGATGCTTTCGCGGTTGGTGGACTGAGAGGCCCCTAAAGCCAGGCAGAAACCACAGAGATGCATCAGAGAAGAGGAGTCTTGCAAGTTAGTAAGCTATGTTTTACTGCAAATATAAACAATTGCTGTATTTTTTTGTAAGGGAAGTGTGTGAAACACCAGAAATCTGTTTTGTTTCAAAATCCAAAATCCAGAATGTCCTTGTTTCATTTCATAAGTGTTTTGAAAAATTTAGAAGGGGCCATTTTGTTTCGAATCAGAAATTCCGAAATTATTCAGTTTCATTATTCTGCCCATTTGTGGCAATGGGAAAAATTCTGGGGCTCATTTCTCTATCATTTTTATAACTATCAGGATGAAACTTGCTACACTTGTATGACACATTTATGACTATAAGCCACCCAAGTTTCAGAATGTTTTGCACATACATTGATTTTTGGGAAATGTGTAAAGTGTTTACAAATTTGTAAAGTTTTTACAAATAACATTTTTTTACAAAGCTTACAGGAGATATTTTCTTGAATTTCTCTACACTGACACAACATAACTGAGGCATTATCCCCCCAAAGTTTCAGAAGGATTTACCTATCCACAGATTTTTAGGAAACTTGGGCACCATCCCTCTGAAGTTTCTGAAGAATTCGCACATCAACTGAGTTTTAGGGATATTTTTTTTCAATTTAAGCACCTTGGGCAAGTCACACTCTCTCAGCTTCAGAAAACTTTGGGCTTTCATTTTTTTTATGGCTTTCTGGATGAAAGTTGCCACACTTGTATGATTTTTAATTTTATGACTTTTCCCCCCAATTACAACCTTTTGAGATGGGTTGAAGGTTCCTTTACAGCAGTGGTTCCCAAACTTTTTTTTTGACCAGAGACCACTTTGGCCAGGGACCCTCTCGAACATTAGTACCAAAAGGGTAACAAATGAGTTTTTTTTGTCAACTTTAGATTTGGTTTGGTTATTTGTGGTGCTGATTCAGAAAATTTCATTGGATAGACCACTTCAGCTCTAGCTTCTGATACAGGACACATGCCACCCCATAGTCGCCATCTGCTCTCCCACAGAAAACCATATTTAATAATCTAGAGCTAATGTGGTCAATTCAATGCAAATTTCTCAATCAGCACCACAAATAACCACAGGAAAAGGCCTAAAAATGAAGACACCAAGGTGCCCCTGCATGGAACAGCTCTGCTCAGGGAGAGGGAGAAGGAGGAGAATCAGCAGTCAGGAGGCTTGTTGTCGTGCCTTTTATGGGTAGTCAGACTCTCCTCTCCCAACATCCCCATTGCCTTGGCACTATAAGAGGGTGTCATAGGCCAGAGCAGGAACACCTCTGACCTTAAACACCAAACCAGCTTGGTAAAATCAGCAAGCAGTTTATTGAAAAATATAAGTGTCGCACCTCAGAGTAGATTCACCTTGCTGAAATCACCAAAGCTGCATAGAGACTGAAGTTTTTGTAGTTTATTGAAAAATAAAAGATAAAAGTTCATAAAGGCAAGTAATGTTCCAAAAGATCAATAAGGCATACCAGTATAAAGTAGGATTCCAAGAGTCATCAACAAAACAGTCTCTCATGAGAACATGACAAAGTCCCAAGACCATGGACACAAGAACTACAAGATAATCCAGGCAAAAGAGACCAAGCTGCTTGGTTGAGTGCAAAGTTGCTCTGACACACTGCTTAATACCCTTTGCAATACAAGAAAGCATTTCTTTGGCCTCTGACCTCCTTCTTGTTAGCTATTCTCACACTTATCCGAACTCTGAATTCCAAACGGTCAGCCCCATCTAAGATTCCTGATTCATCAAGGTCAGGCTGCTCGTTAGTGTCAGCCTGGTTGCCTTCTTGCTTACTATCAGGCTGAGAACTGTCCTCCTTCTCTGAGTCAATCTGCACCTGGCTAGTTTCAGTATCAAAAACATCATTACCTGCTGTGGGAAATTGAACTTGCACACCCTGTTCCTCATTGTCTACAACAGGAACATTTTGAACCTGACTGTGAACCTGAATCCCATCATCCTCGTCAGAGTCACTCTGAGACCCCATCAGAGTCACAACTATCAGTCTGGGGTTCCAGCTGAGTCACAACAATAAGTAGGCAAAGCAGTAAAATTAGCAAAATTTATTTTATTTATTTCGGTCATTTCTACCCCGCCTTTCTCACCTAGGGGGGACTCAAAAACAGTGAAGTTCCAAAACAAAGGTTAGTCCATGAGCTTCAAGGCAAAATAAGATCCATAGGTATCAAAATCCATGAAACAGGCACAAGAATCCGTGAAACTAGGCAGCATGAAAAAATCAATACACAAATGAGGAGCTTGGCAAAAACTTGGTACGTGAAACTAAGAACATTTGAAAGCAAGACTGTCATGAAATTCCAATGTTGACCCAACTGAGGCAACTCTTTCCCATGAATCAATATAAGGCTTTTTCAGTTCCCAAAACCGAAAGGAAAGCATTTCTCTTGACCTTACCACCAGATAAAGGTTTCTTATCTCTTCCTGTAAATGAACTGGTCTTCTTTGCGCCTGAGCACTCTGTCTCTGTTTACAAAAGCCTTGCTTTCTATCTATACTCTCATTAACTTCTGCACCTGATAAATCATCTTCAGACAGTTGCTCTGAGAAAGACTGTGAAGGGCTTCTCCCAAGAATGTGGCCTTGGGAATCTTCCTAAGACAGCTCAGGCCTCTCTGAGCTTAGTTCATGCCCAGGCAAACCCTCATTTCCATTGCCAACAGACCCAGGCCCACCATCAGGAACATCATCCCCACTGCCATCTTGAAGACCAGACACAAGCACAGGCTGAACAGGCCGATATACAACAGAGGGTTTCACGAGACCAGTCACTCTTGTTGCAACAATGTAGTAACAGTGAGGCCGCAGACCATATTTTAGATCTTGGGGACCACTGGTGGTGCATGGACCACAGGTTTGGAACCACAGCTTTACGGGAAACTTTAGAGGCTAATTTCTTCATCATTTTTATGGCTAACAGGATGAAACTTGGCACACTTGTAGGACACATTTACCACTGTTAGCCTGCCAGGTTTCGGAACATTTCACTCATCCACTGATTTTTAGGAATTTTTAATATAGTTTTTTACAAACAGCATTTTAAAAATAGAAAAATGCAAAAGAGATATCTTTGACTTTCTGGACAATGAGAGAACATATTTAGGGCATCACTCCTCCCAAGTTTCCGAACGTTTCGTTAATGTACTGATTTTTTAGAATTTGTTAAAATTTTCTCTCTCTTCTAGACTAAGTTATTTGGAACAGAAGGTTTCATAAAAATGTTTTAATTTGGGGCCAGAATGAAGGCAATGCCCATGCTAATCAGCATACCAAAGGGAGTTCATTTGCCTGTGTCATAGCTAAAAAGGCTCTGTCCCATGTTCCCAAACAATATATTACTCTCGCTGATGGGACAGAAAGGAAGTTTTCGGCAGCAGATGTCTGTTCTCACACAAACATATGTAAGGAAAGACATTTTCCTTCACGTATCAAAGTCCAAAGCAATTCAATTATACAAAAGGCATCCTTCCAAGGTGCAAGTTTGGCTCTTGGGCTGCATATTTGCCATGACCAGTTTAGGTAGAGATTAATTTAAAGTGGCATATCAACTTTTTGATTGATAACAACAGTGGAAACAGCAACAAACCTTTCACAATGTCGACATCTTCCAAGGGTAACTTCCAGAGCAATTTGTACTTGCTGGCTGTGTCTATAACACTGGCGGCTGTGTAACTGGTGAGAGAATAATAAAAACAGGAAAACAAAAATTGAAACATGATAGATTGCAATACTTGATGGTACCAGTAGGTGGCGATGTTGGCTCATTTTTAGAAGGGAAATATATACACTGCAAAATAATAACAAAGACTTGGGATGAATATTGAAGACAGTCAAAGCAGAAAGTGCAAAGACTGATGTACAGCTGGACACCATTTAGAGCAGGTATAGGCAAACTTCGGCCCTCTGGGTGTTTTGGACTTCCACTCCTACAATTCCTAACAGCCTACCGGCTGTTAGGAATTGTGGGAGTGAAAGTCCAAAACACCCAGAAGGCCAAAGTTTGCCCAGACCTGGTTTAGATCATGGTTTTTGTAATAGTTCACTTACAGACTCATGGAACTTCGGCGCAGGGACCCCGACTTGCGCTTCAAAGTGGTGCAGACCAAAAGGTCTGTGAAGAGGAAAAGGGAACGGTCTTTCTTTCCACCAATGGCTTTCTGCAGAGAGACGGAGACACTGTTAACAAATAAAAATTATTCTTCTTTCTTCTTATTATTATAGTATCAATGTCTACTGGGATCAGAGGATGTCAGGTTCTGGATCACACAGAGCTCTTTCATCTGATAAAACATCCAAGCACCCGATTCCCATCTGTAGGGATTAAATGGTTTTTATGTGTTTAAATTGTGTTAGTATTTTCTGAGATTCAAACTCATGACCCAGTGAATCTATGAATTGATCTGTTCACAAACATAGCCATTCATCCATGAATCTGTGACTCTATCTATCCGTCCATTAATCTATAAATCTATCTATGTATGAACGCATCCATCCATCCATTCACGAATCTGTGAATCTATCTGTTTAGCCATCCATAAAACTATTAATCTACCTACCTACCTACCTACCTACCTACCTACCTACCTATCCATCCATCAATTAATCTAGCTATCTATTCATCCATCCATATGTGAATCTATCTATCTGTCCATTAATCTATAAATCTATCTATCTATGAATGCATCCATCCATCCATCCATCCATCCATCCATCCATCCATCCGTGAATCTGTGAATCTATCTATCTAGCCATCCATAAAACTATGAACCTACCTACCTACCTACCTACCTACCTACCTACCTACCTACCTATCCATCAATTAATCTAGCTATCTATTCATCCATCCATATGTGAATCCATCTATCCATTAATCTATAAATCTATCTATCTATGAATGCATAGAATCATAGAATCAAAGAGTTGGAAGAGACCTCCTGGGCCATCCAGTCCAACCCCATTCTGCCAAGAAGCAGGAATATTGCATTCAAATCACCCCTGACAGATGGCCATCCAGCCTCTGTTTAAAAGCTTCCAAAGAAGGAGCCTCCACACACTCCGGGGCAGAGAGTTCCACTGCTGAACGGCTCTCACAGTCAGGAAGTTCTTCCTCATGTTCAGATGGAAACTCCTCTCTTGTGGTTTGAAGCCATGGTTCCATTGCGTCCTAGTCTCCAAGGAAGCAGAAAACAAGCTTGCTCCCTCCTCCCTGTGGCTTCCTCTCACATATTTATACATGGCTATCATATCTCCTCTCAGCCTTCTCTTCTTCAGGCTAAACATGCCCAGCTCCTTAGCCACTCCTCATAGGGCTTGTTCTCCAGACCCTTGATCATTTTAGTCGCCTCCTCTGGACACATTCCAGCTTGTCAATATCTCTCTTGAATTGTGGTGCCCAGAATTGGACACAATATTCCAGGTGTGGTCTAACCAAAGCGGAATAGAGGGATAGCATGACTTCCCTGGACCTAGACACTATGCTCCTATTGATGCAGGCCAAAATCCCATTGGCTTTTTTTGCCGCCACATCACATTGTTGGCTCATGTTTAACTTGTTGTCCACGAGGACTCCAAGATCTTTTTCACACGTACTGCTCTCGAGCCAGGCATCCCCCATTCTGTATCTTTGCATTTCATCTATCCATCCATCCATCCATCCATCCATCCATCCATCCATCCATCCATCCATGAATCTGTGAATCTGTTTAGCCATCCATAAAACTATGAGTCTGTCTATCTATCTATCTATCTATCTATCTATCTATCTATCTACCTACCTACCTATCTATCCATTCATCAATTAATCTATCTATTCATCCATCCATATGTGAATCTATCTATTAATCCATTAATCTATGAATCTATCTATGAATGTATCTATGTATCCATCCATCCATGAATCTGTCTATGCATCCATGACTCTATGAATCTATTAATCTATCCATCCATCCATGAATCTTTGAAACTTTCTGTCTATCCATCCATTAATCTATGTATCCATCCGTCCATCCTTCTGTGAATCTGTGAATTTATCTGTCCGTCCATCCATTAATCTATAAATCAATAGGTATCTTTCTATGAATGTATCATCTATCCATCCGTCCATCCATCCATCCATCCATCCATCCATGAATCTGTGCATATATCTATCTATCTATCCATCCATCCATCCATTAGTCTATGAATCAATTGGTATCTATCTTTCTATGTATGTATCTATCCATCCATCCGTGAATCTGTGCATCTATCTATCTATCTGTCCATCCTTCCATTTTATATGAATCTATCTCTATCCATCCATCAATTTATGAATCTATCTATGAATGTATCTATCCATCCATCTATCCAAGTCTGTCACACCATCCATCCATCTACCTACATACCCATCTATCCATCCATCCATTAATCTATGCATCTATGAATCCATCAATCCATCCATATGTGACTCTATCTATCCACCAATCCACCAATCCATTAATCTATGAATTTATCTATCTATCTATCTATGAACGTATCTATGTATCTATCCATTCATTAATCTATGAATCTATGTATGAATCATACTCTTTCACTGTGGAGGTGGAGAGCGAAAAACTTGATTCATTCTGATATTGATTCGCATTTTGAAGCAAAGCAGAAATTGGACTTAGTACTTGGTGCACAATCGGTCATACAAGCTGTTTTATTTTTGTAGTAATCCAAACTGAAGATTATGAAGAAACTGAGTACTTGATTGTACTTTGTTTTTTAAACAAATCTATGAATCTATCTGTACGTCCATCCATCTACGAATCTATTCATCCATCCATCCATGAATCTATCCATCCATCCATCTATCCACCCGTGAATCTGTGAATCTATCCATCTATCCATCCATCTATCCATCCATCCATCCGTGAATCTGTGAATCTATCTGTCAATCTATCTGTCAATCTATCCATCCATCCATCCATCCATCCTATCTATCTATCTATCTATCTATCTATCTATCTATCTATCTATCTACATCCATCCATCCATCCATCCATCCATCCATCCATCCATCCATCTATCCATCCATCTATCCACCCGTGAATCTGTGAATCTATCTGTCCATCTATCCATCTATTTATCCATCCATCCATCCGCGAATCTGTGAATCTATCTGTCAATCTATCCATCCATCCATCCATCCATCCATCCATCCATCCATGAATCTGTGAATCTATCTGTCCATCTATCCATCCATCCATCCATCCACCCACCCACCCATCCATCCATCCGTGAATCTGTGAATCTATCTGTCAATCTATTCATCCATCCATCCATCCATCCATCCACCCACCCATCCATCCATCCATCCATCCATCCATCCATCCATCCATCCATCCATCCATCCGTGAATCTGTGAATCTATCTGTCAATCTATTCATCCATCCATCCATCCATCCATCCATGAATCTGTGAATCTATCTGTCCATCTATCCATCCATCCATCCATCCATCCATCCATCCATCCATCCATCCATCCATCCGTGAATCTGTGAATCTATCTGTCCATCTATCCACCCCTCCACCCATTAATCTATGAATCAATCAATCAATCAGTCTAACTTTCTATGAATCTATCTATCTATCTATCTATCGATCGATCGATCGATCGATCTGCCTCTCTCCCTCCTTCTCTCCTTGAGTTTCCTTGTGAAACGGAGATGGCTTCTGTACTTTTTAATGGTGTGTGTGTGTGTCATAGGATGCACAGCTGGCTCTCCACATTTGCAGATTTGCTAATTCACAGACTGGATTAAAAGGCTGCTGTAGGAATCTCTAGCTCCTCCCATGTAATGTTATGGTCAGTTTCCCGGAGAAGTTGATGACAGCATAAATCAACAAAGAAGAGGGGAGGACAAATAAAATCCTGTTGAAATTCCTTCATCCATGGGCACCACCTCCCAGTTTTCTACCTGGCAACTCTATGCCCTGCTTCTTGCTGCTGTTCCTTTTCTATTGCAGTGAAGATGTTTGTTATTATTATTTATTATATTTATATTCTGTTTTTTTTTTCTCCCGTAGCTGACAGCTACCCTTGTACTTGTACCGGTTCTCTCCCAATAATAATTTGGATCATTTCACCCTATTATGGCACCTCAGTTGAGTGAGCAACTTCCCTTCAGTGTGGAAATCTATTGCAATTTCCTTACATAATATGTAGCTTCATTCCCTGCCGCTGGGGAGCTGTGCCTGCTAAGGAACGCCACTCGTTCATTACTCCGATGTATAATTAAGGTAATAAACCTTGCTCATCACCCTAGGGAGTGCTTCCTTTATTTAAATACATCCAAATTAAACACATTTAATTCGTCTAAGAATCCACACAAGGGATGGGAAGGAGGGGAGCATTAAAGGATCACATGTTTAAAAATGATGGTTGTGTGAATGAATTTCGACCGCATGTCGCCAAACGGCAGGATTATAGCACTTTGAACCTCTTTAATTGTCACGCAACACTGCCATATAAACTAGTATCTGGATATATAGACTATCTGCTTTGAACTGGATTATATGGTTGTGTAACACATGCAGATACAATGGCTCCACCAAGACTGAAAAATCAACTAATTTGAAGACCACTGTGAAGTTACTGAATGAATTACAATGGAGTTTTTACTGGGCCCAATAGTTTTAAGGCTAGACTTTCTTTCTAATTATTACAAGGGCACTGTAGTCTAAGGTTGGATCTGCACTGTCATATAATCCAGGATCCGATCCCAGATTATCTGCTTCGAACTGGATTATATGAGTCTACACTACCATATAATCCCAATCCAAAGCGGATAATCTGGGATCAGAAACTAACTATATGACAGTGTAGACGGGGCCAAAGGCTGGAGCTACACTGCCATATAATCCAAATTATCAAATCAAATGAACCAGATTATCTGCTTTGAACTGGATTATAGGAGTCTATACTACCATATAATCCAGATTATCAAAACAAATAAACCATATTATCTGCTTAGAACTTGATTATAGGAGTCTACACTGCCATATAATCCAGATTATCAAGTCAAATAAATCAGATGGTCTGCTTTGAACTGGATTATAGGAGTCTACACTGCCATATAATCCAGATTATCAAATCAAATAAACCTGATTATCTGCTTTGAACTGGATTATAGGAATCTATACTGCCATATAATCCAGATTATCAAAACAATTAAACCAGATGATCTGCTTTGAACTGGATTATAGGAGTCTATACTGACATATAATCCAGATTATCAAATCAAATAAACCAGATTATCTGATTCGAACTGGTTTATATGAGTACACACTACCATATAATCACAATCAAAGCAGATAATCTGGGATCAGAAATTAGATTATATGACAGTATAGATGGGACCAACGGCTGGATCTACATCACCATATAATCCAGATTATCAAATTAAATAAACTAGATTATCTGCTTTGAACTGGATTATAGGAGTCTATACTGCCATATAATCCAGATTATCAAAACAAATAAACCATATTATCTGCTTGAACTGGATTTTAGGAGTCTATACTGCCATATAATCCAGATTATCAAATCAAATAAACCTGATTATCTGCTTTGAACTGGATTATAGGAGTCTACACAGACATATAATCCAGATTATCAAATCAAATAAATCAGATTATCTGCTTTGAATTGGATTATAAGAGTCCACACTGCCATATAATCCAGTTTAAAGCAGATAATGTGGATTTTCTATGGCAGTGTAGAAGGGGCCTAAGATGTGCTGAATGGGCACAGTTATAAAATGCCCAGTGTCTAAGAGACAGAAGAATTCCAATGTCATCCCTCAAATTCATTAAAGCGACAGCTTTAATAGACTTGACGGACTGCTTTTAGGACGTTGACTTAAATTGGTGACTGTTTGACTGTTTTTGTACTGTTTTTATATTGTTTTTATTTAAATCGTATATTTATGCTTTTGGTTGTGAGCACCATGGTGTGCTGGTTGTTAGCCGCCCTGAGATAGGATGGGATACAAATGTCCGAAATAAATAAATAACAAGAAATAAATAAATTCTGCAAAACTGTATAAAAATAAAAACAAATTACAATAAAATTATGCAGATTTGCTCTATTTGCATAATTGTCAAGGATGGCAGGATTCTACAGACAGAACACAGAGCAACTCTGGCACGGCATTTCCTTCCTGCTTCCTTTGCACTGCCAGAAATACCAATTCAGATTATGCATTTATTTAAATTATTCATTAATTATTCAAAAAGTATTGATCTAAGGCCCCTTTGATCACCACTTCCCCCAGGCAACGTATAGTAAACAAAAGCATGAAAACCAAAACATTAAATAAACAAGCAAAACCATTTAAAACTCTTTAAAGATCCTCACTACCTCTGAGGATGCTTGCCATAGATGCAGGCGAAACGTCAGGAGAGAATGCCTCTAGACCATGGCCATATAGCCCGAAAAAACCTACAACAACCCAGTGATTCCGGCCATGAAAGCCTTCGACAATAATATTTCAGATTTACTCTATGCATGCCCTGCTGTGGCATAAAAGGGCAAAATAAAAACATTGCTCTCCGAAAGAGTTTGGTTTCCATCAACTACAATGTCCCGTATTAGGACAAAATAAGAAAATGGGTATTTGTTGCAAAATGTAAACAGAAGCTTCACATTTCTTCACTTGTGTGTGAAAGGAAGACCACAGGATGAAACAGTACTGAAGTCAAATACAAGCTGCCCCTGGGTTGAAAACATCCAACTTACAAACCACTCACAGTCAAGAACCCCTCGCTATGCTATCCAAAGCATGTGTGTGTGTGTGTGTGTGTGTGTGTGTGTGTGTGTTCTTGGTAGTGTTCTAAGCCTCCTGAATTGCAGCTCCAATGTGGCCGAAGAGGTTCTCTCACAAATCCCACAACAACAAACCAGGGATGAGCTTGCAGCACTGCCTAGTCTGGAAGAAGTCAGCAATGTCATCAGCCAACAAAAAAATAACAAAGCCAGCAGACCTGATGGGATCCCTGCTGAAATCTTTACAGAGGAATGCCCGACCACCGTCTCCCAAAGCAGTTGCTATATTCCGAACTCAAGAACGGAAAGCGAAATGTTGGTGGGCAGGAAAAGAGATGTAAAGATGGGCTCAAAGCCAACCTTAAAAACTCTGGCATAGACACTGAGAACTGGGAAGCCCTGGCCCTTGAGCGCTCCAGTTGGTGGTCAGTTGTGGTGTAGAATTTGAAGAGGCACGAATGGAGGACGAAAGAGAGAAATGCGCCAAGAGGAAGGCGCATCAAGCCAACCCCGACCTGGACCATCTTCCACCTGGAAACCAATGCCTTCACTGTGGGAGAAGATCAGAATAGGGCTCCACAGTCACCTATAGACCCACCGCCACAACACCGACCTTGGAGGACCATCATCCTCGGACTATGAGGGATTGCCTAAGTAAGTAAGTAAAGTAAGTGTGTGTGTGCATACACACACATACACATACACTCGTGCCTCCACTTGCTCTCCATTCGTGCCTCTTCAGATTCTACAGCACTGCTGGTCACAGCTGACCTCCAGCTAGAACACTCAAGGGCCAGGTCTTCCCAGTTCTTGGTATCTATGCCACAGTTTTTAAGGTTGGCTTTGAGGCCGTCTTTCAATCTCTTTTCCTGTCCTCCAACATTCCGTTTTCTGTTCTTGAGTTCGGAGTAGAGTAACTGTTTTGGGAGACGGTGATTGGGCATTCGGCAACATGGCCAATCCAGTGGAGTTGATGGCAGAGGACCATCACTTCAATGCTGGTGGTCTTTGCTTCTTCCAGCATGCTGACATTTGTCTGCCTGTCTTCCCAAGAGATTTGCAGGCTGTTTCGGAGGCAATGCGGATTGAAGCGTTCCAGGAGTTGCGTGTGACGTCTGTAGACAGTCCACGTTTCGCAGGCATACAGCAGGGTTGGGAGGACAATGGCTTTATAAACAATGGCTTGGTATCCCTACGGATGTCCCGGTCCTCAAACACTCTCTGCTTCATTTGGAAAAATGGTGCACTCGCAGAGCTCAGGCAGTGTTGTATTTGAGTGTCAATGTTGACTTTTGTGGAGATCAGAGGTTATATCTCATCTACCACTGAGATGCCCCAACCCATGGTCTCTACAGAGGTGCCAGGGCCCATGCCAGAGATGCCCATTTTAAGAAGGACCACTGACTTACCACTTCCACCACCATCTCCTGGCGCAGGAACCTCCGCAGCGGGGCCTGGAGCTGCAGAGAGAAGGTGTTACATCTGTTAGAGAGGTCACCAAGTGCTCAAGAGAGACCAAGGAACTAATGTCAAAATTGCTATGGAGGAGGAAGGCTAGATGGTGGCAGTGCAGGGACAATAATCTGGTCTCCTATAAGACCAAGGATCTTATAGGAGATTTCAGAAGGCTAGAATCAAAGAATCACAGAGTTGGAAGAGACCTCGTGGGCCATCCAGTCCTACCCCTTTCTGCCAAGAAGCAGGAACGTCACATTCAAAGCACCCCGACAGATTTCCATCCAGCCTCTGTTTCAAAGCCTCCAATGAAGGAGACTCCATCACACCCCGGGACAGAGAGTTCCACTGCTGAACAGCTCTCACTGTTAGGAAGTTCTTTCTAATTTTCAGGTGGAATCTCCTTTCCTGTAATTTGAAGCCATTGCTCCATTGCGTCCTAGTCTTCAGGACAGCAGAAAACAAGTCTGGTTCCTCCTCCCTAGGACTTTCCCTCACATCTTGATCCCTGGCTTTCATCATGTCACCCTAAACATGTCCAGCTCTTTAAGCCGTTCCTCATAAGACTTGTTCTCAGACCTCTTATCATTTTAGGAATAGGTAAGTAATTCTGCATTGGTTACAAATGGAGATCGAGTGGGGCGGGTGGCCAGTTTTAGGGTGCTATTGCTAAGGAAGACCTGCGGCGTTGGTGAAGAGGGCCCAGCAGAGACTGTACTGCCTTGGATTTTTAAACAACCACCAACTGTATGGTAAACTCCTGGTGACTTTTTCCTGCTGTGCTCTAGAGAGTGTCCTCACCGACTGCATTTATGCATGGTCTGGTAACTGCACAGTGACAGATAGGAAGGTGCTCTGAATGGTCACCACTTTTGCACAGAGAAGCATTGGTTGCCCTCTTTCTTCCCTCTTTGAAATAACTTTACAGGTCCCGCAGCCTTAAGAAAGCTCAGAGCATTCTTGTGGATCTATCTCACACGGAATATTACCATCTGGTCCTGGAGCTTTAACTATATTAAACTCCATGGCTTTGCACTGATGTGGCATTGGGGGTTGTGCAATGGTTTTTTTTTTTTTTGTCGTGTCAGGAGTGTCCTGTTGTGAGAGAATTGGCCATCTGCAAGGACGTTGCCCAAGGGACGCCTGGATGATTTTGATGTGCAATGGTGATGGGAGTGTGGAGGGATGAGTATGTTGTTTTTGTGATGTGTGCCAGGGAAAGCATTTCATTAATGGTACAATGTACAATAACAACAGTTATTCTATTCTATTATATTATTCTAGATGAGACGTTGGCTGGAGGTGACCTCTGGCCATGGCATCTCAGCCTATACAGGCCGACCCTGAGTTACAAACATCCAACTTACAACTGACTCCTAGTTAAGAACGGGGCTGAGACAACAGCAAGTGAGGCAAATCTACCCCTTGGAAGGGAAATTCACTCCTGAAAGAGTTATTATCATGGGAAATGGTGTCTCCACTGAAACTTTCTAAATAAGGTTGAACACTGTGAAAGCCACCCATTGCATGGCTACCAGACTCCCCCCAGTAGACTCAAATCAAGGAAAAGCTTCATGAGAACCACCATTCCTTTTAATGTTCCCCAGCAACAGCAAGAGCATCCCTCTGGGCAGCTAAACCAGGAAACTCCAATTGTATGGCCCCTCACTTGGAAGTCCCTGAACAGACTCAGAAGTGGAGTGGGCAGATCAAAAGACAACCTGACAAAATGGCACTACCTAAAAGAATCCCACACCTTGTGTGACTGTGGAGCAGAACAGAGAACCCTATATAGCCAGTCCATCTGTATGCTTGTCCACTATGCCCTGCCTCATGTACAGAGGAAGAATTGTAGGAGGCTACAGACAACGCAGTTGCTGTTGCCCGATTTTGGTCAAAAGATATTTAGCCACTTGTATTTCTTTTATTTTTATCAGTTTTATACTAATTTATGCAATACTTTTGATACTAAATAAATAAATAAACAAATAACTGAAACTTTCTCACAGACCTTTAGATTCACAACAAGCCAAATTTTCCAAAATCCAATTATCACAAGGAGAGGGGTTCGGACAGCAAAACAACCACTCTCGTTTGGAACTTGGGGATTGCCTGTCTATATATTTTGGTGTGTTTATTTTATATTGATGTGCTTTGACTATGTTGCACCCTTCCTTGAGCTGTTATGGAAGCCAGGTAGCAAATGAATAATAGTAGCAGCAGCAGTAGTAATAATAATAATGATAATGATAACAACAACACCAATAGTAATCATAACCATCCATCACCTGAGGATTAAGGTCTGTTGGAGAGACCTTTGTGTTCCATCGCTGGGAGGAAGACACTTTATGAGGATGTACGCATCCCTCTCCCAGAAGGCCCACCTGGAACCAATACGCTTATCATTTTGCTACCAAGTCAGAACACAGCTTTTCACAAGAGTTTCTGTAAGTTTAATTGCTTTCCTCCAAATTTTCCATGCACAATTTTATCAAATGCACCGGGACTGTGGCGCAGCTGGCTGGGAGTCAGCTGCATTAAGATCACTACTGACCAAAAGGTCATGAGTTCGAAGCCGGCTCAGCTCGGAGTGAGCTTTTGACCATTTGTGCAGCTTGCTGTCGACCTTTGCAGCCTGAAAGACAGTTGCATTTGTCAAGTAGGAAATTTAGGTACTGCCTACGCGGGGATGCTAATTTAACTCATTTACGATGCCATAAAAATCTCCAGCAGTGTTGAAAAGAATGAGGAAGTACTCTATCAGTGTCACAAGTGGACGGTGAAGCGACAGCTTCCCCGGTGGCTGGAATTCGGGGCATACCCTCATGAAGCTGGAAAGTTAAATAGACTCTGTGTGTCTGGAGGACATTTTTGAAGTCCAACATAGATAAAAGACTCTTAGCTCTTATGATTGCTCTATATGATGACTCCTCAGTTAAAGTGAGATTAGATAACAGTGGGGCAGTCTCCAATGGAATACCTACGACTAGGGGTGTGAGACAGGGATGTTTGTTGGCTCCGTTCTGTTTTAATTTTTATATTAATGATATTGTGGAATATTTGAATATGAAAGAATGTCACAGTCCAAAGATTATGGATAGGGAGACAAATATCTTGATATACGCAGATGACATAGTATTGTTATCCACTACCCCAGTCGGGTTAAGGAGGTCCCTGCAAAAACTTAGCCAATATTGTACTGAAAATGCCCTCACTATAAATAAAGAAAAATCCAAAATAATGGTTTTTGGTAAGAAAGCTAAGGCTTCCAACTGGCACCTTGACGGGCACAAAGTGGAGCAAGTGAGGACATTTAAATACTTAGGTCTTCATTTTGCGGCATCAGGGGCATGGACCCAACATCTAAAATTAAGTATTGCAAAAGCTGATAATGCTGCACAGGCAATTCATAAATTATGCAACCACAATTACCCGGGCTCTCTGCGCCCCTTTCTGAAGGTTCTTAAGGCAAAGGTGTTCCCCATCGCCTTGTATGGAGCTGAAATATGGGGTGAGCAAGACCCTTTACTGGTAGAGAGATTCCAACTGCGCCACCTGAAAATTGGCTTAGGTGTGGAGAGATCATCCCTGTCAGCTGCAGTGAGAGCAGAGACGGGAGTACCCCCAATCTCCACCACAATTCTGAAGAGGCAGATCAATTGGTGGTACAAAATAAGACAAATGCAACCACACAGACTCTCAGCCCTATGCCTTCTAGAACAAGAAAACCACAAAGAGTGGTCATCTTGGCTTAGCAGATTTGGCCACACAGTTAGTAGGTTAGGTTTTGCCCCCCACGAGTTAACAAATTTTGGGGCAAATGTATGCTCAATTGTATACCAAAGAGCTCTCGACATTGCTGCACAAAATGATCTATATATGTTGTGTGTCTATGGCGTTGAGTGTTTGCCATGTATATGTACATTGTAATCCGCCCTGAGTCCCCTGACGGGGTGAGAAGGGCGGAATATAAATACTGTAAATAAATAAATAATGGCTTAATATATTCCTAGTCTGTTTTCAGAGACTCAATCTGGTGGAGCGGTTTAAGTCTCAGGCTTTGGAACCCCTGTTTGACCATGGAAACCCAGTGGATCACTTCTCTCTCTCCCTTCCAAAGACCCCATTGAAGCAAAACAGATTCTAGGATATCAAGGCAATGTGTAGAGAAGGGACGGGCCTATGTAGTTGTGGGAAGGTGACCTAAAGAGGTTGGTCACCCTAACAAAGAGATGGAAGAGTATGGCTCTTTCCAATTCCTAGGGAGATCCTTTTTCCTCAGAACTGCCCCCCATCTTTGACAAATCTGCCTTGGGGCTAACGACAAGGACCGTACAACTTTATTGCAATAGCCCTTGGCTGTCCATCTGCTTCCAGACAAAAATCAATGAGCTGGTGATGACTAATAAAGCCTTCTAGGAAACAGGTCCAGATTATCTGAACAACCATATCTTCCCATATGGACCTCTTTTGAGATCTTTGGGGGAGTCCCTTCCCTTCATCCCACCACCGTCACACATTCCCACACATTTCCAGGCAGTTTTGAGGAAACTTACGTCTTCCATTCCCTCGATGTGGGACTCAATTTCCTGCACGATCCGGGCGTTCCTCTCCACCTCCTCCGCACTCTTCATCCCTTTGTTGATCCTCTCGGCCACCTGCTTGATGCTCCTCTGGGCTTCTAGTAAGAAGGGATGGTCGGGGTGCTCTTCTGGGGTGTGTTTCAGGAGGTCCTGATGGCAGGGAAAAGGGGAAAAAACAGCCATAATTATGTAACACAATATTGGTTCCTGCGTTATGAATGTCATTTCCTAATTGGTTCTATCATAAAAGATGGAAAAAGTGCATTAAATAGCAAAAACTTTGCCTTTGCAGGAAATTCGGCAACACATATTTGCTATATGTATTGTCAAAGGCTTTCATGGCCAGAATCACTGGGTCGTTGTAGGTTTTTCAGGCTGTATGGCCATGTTCTAGAAGCATTCTCTCCTGACGTTTCTCCTGCCTCTATGACAAGCATCCTCAGAGGTTGTGATTTCTTTGAATACATCTTTGCTATATTTTTTCAATGAATAGCTGATTGAGTCCCAACCAATTCAACCTAGTTTGTGGCAGATACAAAAACTAAGTTTCTGGAGTAGAACAACTACTTTCAAAGTAAGGACCACACAGTTAAACAGGAAATAATACCTTTTTAGTATCACCTTAAAAACTGGAGATACAATGGTATGGCATGTCCTAACTTTAGTATTCAATGATGTATTTTTATATTTCAGGCACTTGCCTCTGAATTCCAGAGACAAAGTAGGTCAAGTTGCTTTGAGTATCCTTTGGGAGAGATAAAGCATGCTATAAATATAACAACAACAGCTGCTGCAGCAGCACCGAAATTGTGGCGCAGCTGGCTGAGTGTCAGCTGCATTAAGATCACTCTGACCAAAAGGTCATGAGTTCGAAGCCAGCCCGGGTTGGAGTGGGTTTCCAACCAATTGTGTAGCCTGTTGTCGACCTTTGCAACCCGAAAGACAGTTGCATTTGTCAAGTAGGAAAATTAGGTACCACCTTAAAGTGTGGGGAGGCTAAATTAACTAATTTATGAGACCATAAAAAAAACTCCAGCAAGCACTCCAGCAAAAAGCATGCGGGGAATGCGGAAGTGCTTCATCAGTGTCGCAGATGGACGATGAAAGTGACAGCTCCCCTGGCAGCCAAAAAAAGTTAAATAGCCTCTATCTATGTCTGTATATGTTGTATGTCAAAATTGGCATTGAATGTTTGCCATATATGTGTATACTGTCATCCGCCCTGAGTCCCCTGCGGGGTGATAAGGGCGGAATATAAAAGCTGTAAATAAATATAAATAAATAAATACATAAATAAACAACAACAACACCTAAAGACCTTGGCCTGCACTTAAACACAATTGGCGCCCACAAAATTACCATCTCCTAGCTGCAAAAGGCCACCTTACTGGGATCTGCATGCATTATTCGCCGATACATCACTGTCCTAGACACCTGGGAAGCGTCCGACGTGTGTTCCAATATAACAACCAGCAGAATGATCTTATTGCTGTGTACTAATCTTTTTGTGTTTCAAATATAATAATAATAATAATCATCATCATCATCATCATCATCATCATGTGACATGTATATGAGGGGAAAGGAAGGAGGGAGGGAGGAAGGAAAGAAAGAAGGAAATGAGAGAGGGAGGGAGGGAGGAAAGAAAGGAAGAAATAATGAAGGAAGGAAGGAAGGGAAGGAAGGAAGGAAGGAAGAGGAAAGAAGGAGGGGAGGAAAGAAGGGAGTGAGAGAAGGAAGAAAAGGAGGAGAAAAAAGGGCAGGAGGTATGAGGAACGAAGAAAGAAAGGGAAGAAAGAAGGAAGGAAGGAAGGAAGGAAGGAAGGAAGGAAGGAAGGAAGGAAGGAAGGAAAAGAGGGAGAAAAAGGAAGGGAGAAAGAAGGAAGAAGAAGGAAGGAGAAGAAGGAGGAAGGGAGGAAAAGAGGGAAGGAAAGCAGAGAGGGAGGAAGGAAGGAAGGAAGGAAGGAAGGAAGAGAGAGAGAGAGAGAAATGAAGGAAGGGAGGAAAGAAGGAATGAAGGAAGGAGAGAAGGAATGGAAGGAAGGAAAGAAGGAAAGAAGGAAAGGAAAGAGGGAAGAAAGGAAGGAAGGAAGGAAGGAAGGAAGGAAGGAAGGAAGGAAGGGGAAGGGAGAAAGAAGGAAGGAAGGAAGGAAGGGAGGGAGGAAAGAAGGAAAGAAGGGAGGAAGGGAGGGAGGGAAGGAGGAAGAAGGAAGGGGAAAGAGAAAGAGGAAGGAAGAATGAAGGAAAGGAGGAAAGGAAGAAGGAAGGAAGGAAGGAAAGAAGGGAGGAAGGGAGGGAGGGAGGAAGGGTGAGCGGAATGAGGGGAAGGGTAAAAGAAAGAAAAATTAGGATGAAAGGAAGAGAAAGGAAAGGAGAAAGAAGAGAAAGTAGACAGCAGTCTCAATGACAATGACTATGAACTATGTCACATAGTTCTGGTAAATACTATGTATGGTTGTAAAAGCTGGACAGTGAAGGAAACTGATTAGGCAGGGAATCGACTCATTTGAAATGCACTGGAGGAAAGTTTTGCAAATAGGACAGAGAAATAAATGGGTTCTAGAGCAGTGGTGCATTATTTTGGGCACCATTTAGAGCAGGCATGGGCAAACCTGGGCCCTCCAGGTGTTTTGGACTTCAACTCCCACAATTCCTAACAGCCGGTAGGCTGTTAGGAATTGTGGGAGTTGAAGTCCAAAACAGCTGAAGGGCCCAGGTTTGCCCATGCTTGTGTTAGAAGCTGCCTTCCATCAGAAGAGTTCCAGGCAAGATCCCTGGAAGCACAAGGCAGGCAGCTGCGTGGGGCCAGCCACTTTCCCATAACTGCCTTTCCAGGCTATTCATCACGGTGAAAGCAAATAAAACTGGCTGGTTAATTGGCCAGCAGTCAGGGAAGGATGGCTGAGCTCCCGAGTAATTGGTGGTAATTTAGTGCCAACCCGGTGGTACATGCAAACATCCATCAGGGCTGGAGGAGGCACGGATGAGGCTTCCGAGTGGGTGGCTTGTTCCTTCTGTCGGTGCCACTTGCAAAAGGAGGCTGCAGCAGCCAGAAAGGGGGGAAATAGACAGGGGGATGAGCAAATTCCCAGGAACCTCACCCACTGCTCATGGTTTAAGACATGCCCAAATATTTTCTTGCATACTTTAGTCTCCGGGCAGAATATGTCTTTGATTAGTCATTTGGATAGCCATCTCTCTCCTTATATACATGGATCTAAAGCTCAAGAAATAGATAGATAGATAGATAGATAGATAGATAGATAGATAGATAGATAGTAGATAGATAGATAGATAGATAGATAAATAAGAGTTGGAAGAGACCTCCTGGGCCATCCAGTCCAACCCCATTCTGCCAAGAAGCAGGAATATTGCATTCAAATCACCCCTGACAGATGGCCATCCAGCCCCTGTTTAAAAGCCTCCAAAGAAGGAGCCTCCACCACACTCTGGGGCAGAGAGTTCCACTGCTGAACGGCTCTCACAGTCAGGAAGTTCTTCCTCATGTTCAGATGGAATCTCCTTTCTTGTAGTTTGAAGCCATTGTTCCTTGTCCTAGTCTCCAGGGAAGCAGAAAACAAGCTTGCTCCCTCCTCCCTGTGGCTTCCTCTCACATATTTATACATGGCTATCATATCTCCTCTCAGCCTTCTCTTCTTCAGGCTAAACATGCCCAGCTCCTTAGGCCGCTCCTCATAGGGCTTGTTCTCCAGACCCTTGATCATTTTAGTCGCCCTCCTCTGGACACATTCCAGCTTGTCAATATCTCTCTTGAATTGTGGTGCCCAGAATTGGACACAATATTCCAGGTGTGGTCTAACCAGAGCAGAATAGAGGGGTAGCATGACTTCCCTAGATAGATAGATAGATAGATAGATAGATAGATAGATAGATAGATAGATAGATAGATACAGAAGGTCTAAAGCTTCCTCTCTCTCTACTTGTGGTTCTAAAGCCTGATATATATATTTATATGTAAATGTCAATATATATGTTTGTTTGCACCACAAAGGCTATTGCTAGGTGAAGTGGCCCTCTGTGATGTCAGAGGGGGGAAAGGTGACATGTAAATGAGGGAAAGGAAGGGAAGGAAGAGAAAAAGAAGGGAAAGAGGGAAAGAAAGGAAAGGAGATGGGAGGGCGAAGTAAGAAAGAAAAAAGAAGGTAAGGAAGGACATGGCTTTTAATTCTGGATGTGGCTTTTAACTTTGGATGCAGTTTTTAACCTTGTTTTATTGTTTTGTACGTGTGTGTTGTTTTATTGTTTTAATGCTGCATGTGTGTAATTGTGTTTTATTAACTTTTATGATGATTTATTTCATGATTGGTTTGCTTCTACTGTCTATTTGTTTGTTTATCATGTTGTTAGCTGCCCTGAGTTCCCAGGGGGAGATGGAGTGGGATACAAATAGAGCTTTGATTGACTGATTGAAGGAAGGAAGAGAAAGGAGAGTAGAGAGAAAGTAATCAGGCCCCAATGACACCCAGGTAACACCAGAGGTAGATATATTTATATTGCAAGATATATAGAGAGCTAAAGGTAAATGCATACATATCACAAACTATATAAAGAGCACAAGATCTAGATAAATAAATATAGATAGACAGCCAGCACAACATATCTATCTATCTATCTATCTATCTATCTATCTATCTATCTATCTATCTATCTATCTATCTATCCATCCCTCCATCCATCCCTCCTTCCATCCATCCATCTTTTCATTCCATCCATCCATCTTTCCATCCATCTTTCCATCCATCCATCTTTTAATTTATGCTTAAAATGTATTAATTTTAATCTAATTTATTTTAAAGTTAATATTGTGTGTTTTAAGGCACTATATAAGTGCCATTTGTAAGCCGCCTTGAGTCCCTCTTGGGGTAGAGAAATGTGGGAAATAAAATAAAAATTGCCATCTATCTTTCCATCCCTCCATCCCTCCATCCATCCCTCTTTCCATCCATCCATCTATCCATCCATCTTTTCATTCCATCCATCCATCTTTTCATTCCATCCATCTTTCCATCCATCCACCCACCCATCCATCCATCTTTTCATCCATCCGCCCATCTTTCCATCCATCCATCTTTTCATCCATCCATCCATCTTTTCATCCATCCGCCCATTTTTCCTTCCACCCATCCATC